GGGAATTGCAATGGCCATTATTTCAAATCTGTTTGGGGGCTTAAAAGCGAAAAGCAAATATTGATAGTATCGTTGTTACGTGTCGACATAATGTTATGACGTTCTTCTGAACCTATGCAGAAACAATGGTATACACTAGACTACAATTGTAACACTGTTGAACAAAATATTACAATGCCATAACAGTATAAATCAATTAATTTGTGAGTACAACAAACATAATATATCATTACACATACTGGCATAAACTGCGGGCAAACACCCTGGGCTCAAGATTTCACACAGGGAAGACCCACGTGTGGGTAGTTACATCATAGGGGTGGGGTTGTGGTGATGTCTTCGTGTTAATCTATATTATTCCTGCAGTACATGGACACAATGCCAATATGTACATTGTTTGGAAACTCTATTAGGAATTTTTGGTTAGCCTAGGTCCCAGCAAGCTATGCGAAATGATCCGGTGGTCAGACTTGATGACTTGGCTGACTTGGTGTCATCCTTCCCCGCAACTCCTCATAATATCAATCATTGGATTACCTGGTCCAGATGCTATTATTGACAGGTTGTCATCATGCAAGTGGACAATTGCTGAGTGCGACCTTAAAGAAAAGACAAGCAATAAAAAACGACAAAAACATTTCTACACTTCTACATTCCGACTATATCAAAAGCACGTGTTTATGAATAAAATGGTGATTATTCCCCCACACGCACATATGGGAACATATGGTACAAGTCAAGATGGGAAAATGCATCAGGCATCATTTTTGTCACAGAACTCCTGGTATCATCACTATTTGATATTGATTCATAAACACATGGTCTGTACAATGTACAGTGTAACACTTTCGAAATATCTGTAAGAATGTTGTATTAATGGCATCTGTAAATAGCAATGTATCATTGTCCTCATCAACATATATATTTCATGCAAGGAGGTTTAGAAACTATCAGACAAATCATCTACAACACAAACAGATTTTTCCTGTATGTCTGTGGGCTTTAACTGCAATGAAGACTTGAATAGTGGTGTGTACCTTCAATTCAGTTTGCTGTCCTCGCTTTTCCCCCTAGGGGGAACGTTTCAATACGAGAGGAGGGGAAGAGGAACAAGAAGAAAAGAGATAATAAATCCAACAGTTGTTAATAAACATTTTTGCCATGTAATAAATTATATTATCGATGCCAAAAGCTAATCCCATAAACTTGCTAATCGCAAAAGGATTAACGTGCAAATGAAGTCACATTGCAGGAACTGCTTTTAATGACCTCAATACACCGATGTGCATAGCTTTCACAATAAAACAAGGTAGGGATTTTCCCGATGTGAGAGTGCTGGAAACCTGGCTCCACATCAGTTAGCACTGTATAGTACATAGTTCGTTGTAATCAGCAATGTGTTCATGCGCGGTTCCTAAAATGACTTAAGGCTACAAAATACGTCACAAAATTCGATTGTTATCAATCATCACACAATATGATCGAAGATGTTGCATTAACGATTGGGACACTCGGTCAATAACCTCTGTGTCGTATAGAGGCTGATCAGAATGCATTGATCCAGCATATCTATTTTCTTTCTTTGGCTTCAGTTTTGTGTTCAGTATTTGATTATCATGTCAATGCACGAGGTATTTGGTTAAGTGAGGATTCGTTTACCTTGAAACTCTCGAAAACCACGTTTACTTTCAGGTAACCATCAATGAATAATTAAATAATCACTCCAATAGTTTTGAAATAGCATTACTATTAATACCTCACAAGATTGTAAAGAATCTTTGTTGTTTTTATTCCAGGGGTTTGTAATTTTATCGAAAAGAATACATTGTGCCTGAAAATTGATTATAAGATAATTATGCTTAAAAAAACCTTATTGCCACAACAATAACATTGTCGCGAGGTGTTTTGCGTAAAAGGTATGCAGGCTCATAATTTTAAATAAAAAACAATCTGGTTTCGCAGCTCAAGCTAAAAAAGTACCTAATATCAAGGCAAAATCCCAGCCCCACTCCCTTTGTTTGCTACTTTATTTAGATTTTGTGCATTTGGGCTTCGCCTCTTTACATAATAACCTATTTTAAATTTGTATGTTTACCTTTCAGATTTATTTAATATTATATGTTACAATTACATTCGTTGCATACAGTAATCTCAAAAGAATCTTCCAAATTTGTTTACGGCGTGATCTTCAGAGAGCGAACTGGGGGTAAAAGTTTTCAATTTTAGACTTAGGCCTCCGTAGGGATCCGGATTTAAATAGGTCACCGGGGCCCTATTACCTGTCGTGAGAGGCGACGACAGTGTGGTTGTCCAACTGGCAGACACGCATTCAGTGCAGTGATTGGCTGAATATCACATGATGTGTATTCATGCTTGACGTCAAATGTATACATAACAACCAAACCTTAGCTATAACGCAGTTTGAAAAATGCAGCCTTACAGTAGGCTTAGAGTGATTTTCATTTGATCATTTGATTGAGGCTTCCCGATGTCATGTTACTATGTGATTACTGTGAAGATGAGATACTATCAAAGACACAAAGTGTAACTGTGTATCACAAAGATGAGGACGTGTGTTATGTACCACAGGGTGGTGATATACCAGAAGCGTATGAACATGTAACTGTGTGCGTACATGGTGACAATGTCATATATACCAGACAGGGAAGCAACGTACCAAGAGGTTTTGAATCTGTCTATGTCTATGTCACAGAACAAGGATTAATATATTCTAACGAAAGTACAGCACCAACTGGTTTTGTCCCTGTACTTGTTTATGCCAGGAATGATTTCACATCCCGCACTAAGAAATCAACACTTAAACAGGTCGTTTTCACAGCGTGTCTAACGTGAGTATTTCGAATATCTGATGTGAACGATATGCACTGTTGAAACTTTAGTCTGTTATGTATAGTTATGTTATTTATATTCCGAATTTGGTAATTTTTTATATTACAAATAAGAAACTCAACCGATTTCCAAAAATGTATAACTATACGAAAATGTATATAGCGGTATTGTGAACTGACCAGAAAGATGCTCGAGGGACTGTTTTTTAGTTCTGACACTCCTGCTATTTACTTGTTTACTTAGTCTATGTATGTTTCCCTTTCAGTGAACATATTCCACGGTGTGAGGAAGCAGTTAATAAGTTCCTCCAGTATGCGTCTTCTACTGATCGCATCTTGCCTATTGGGATTCACGTTAAGTACCTGTATGGTGTAGGACGAGAGGAAGATAACAAAAAGAAGAAAAGGGAGAAGAGAGATCATAAAGTCCACCAGTTGTTGGAAAAAGTGTCAGCTTTGCGCAACTCCAACTCTGGATGTATACTGATTCATCTTGTTGGTCTGGCACCAGGGGATCATTTTACTGGCGCATTTGGAAACCACTTTGGAATATGTTACCAAAAACCTAACGGAGACAGACTACGTTACACAATTTAATTTGCTACATGGAAGGGGAGATAATCGTCTACACTGGGATTGAAATTATGGAAACAGGTTAATATGTCAAATTATTCACAGTCCCCTCAGGCTGTGATGCAGCGATCTAAACGCAGATCAGAGTGCTAGATATATTTTGTATACTAAAATTTGTTCTTGTGAATATCATACCGAAGATTACTTCCACTTCTTTTTATGTGCACAAATTACTATGTTCTTCGAAATGAAATGTATTTTTACCATCATGGTTACTCTTTACAAACGGTGTTATACGGAAATTCGTATTTTCAAAAGCCCTGGATCAAGGTAAAGAAGTAAGAGTTGGATTCTGTGACATTAGTCAGGCATTTGATAAAGTATGGCATGAAGGTTTGATACGTAAGTTACACTCTCATGGGATAAGTGGTAGGTCATTCGACTGGTTCAATAGTTACATGAAAGATAGAGTACAGCGTGGAGTGATCAATGGATACACCCCTGCTTTAGAATCTGTGTGTGCTGGCGTTCCACAAGGATCAGTATTAGGGCCATTACTGTTCTTAGTCTATTTAAATCTAGTTGCTGATAGTGATGGCAATATTAGATAATTTGCGGACGATACGTCCTTGTACATTAATATTGATGATCCCAACATAAACGTTGCACAATTAATTGAAGATCTTGAAAGAGTATCACACTAGGCAGAAACATGGCAAGTAAAGTTTGATTTTTAAAAATCCAAAATGTATGCATGTTTCTTATCTCATTGTATGTGTTTTCTCTTTATATGCCCAAATTATAGAGCCGCATGGAGCAGTAAGCATTGCTTTGCTAAAGACCATAACTTACACTCCGTTTTGCATGGAAATTCAACAAGTCTGCAAATTGAAACCTTCAAATTGTCGAATCAGTCCATATAACTTTATTGTTGAATTTGGTCGATTTAGTTTAAATGTTTAAATAATTGAATGATAATGATGGATGACATTCACCAGACTTCTGATATGCATTATGTGCATATCAATGAAACGCCTAAATGTTGATAAGAGACAACATATTTATTTTTTATACTACATAGCCAAATAACCATGTCAGCTTTGATCTTTGTATTTTGTTTCCTGGTGAGGCATTCAAATAAACCTGCGGCCTATTTGCCAATCGATTTTCAAATTTTATTGGGGAATAAATATGTTTAAAACATACATCCATGGTACGTTAGCTAATCACTGATGTATCTTAGACATGCATGACGCATTTTATTGAATGTAACTACATAAACAATTTTACTAATTTTGTTTAAGAAACACAGTTATTCCTTTTAACTTCAGATCTAACTGATATCAAGGAGCTTAAGTGCAGAAAGTGGATTGTAGAGAGGGTAATGTATACTGACATTTCATTACGGAAATGTACTTATAACATAACTATAAAACGTCTTTAAAGTTCTTCTTAAGTTTCTACAAACGAAATTAAGTCATAAACAACATGCATTTCTGCAATACATTTGATTTCATAAATAAGTCAGTTGCTTTATCAATCTTGTAGCCCACAACATGTTTAAATTTGATTTTTCAGGAAATTGACAGAACGGAGAAACTAATGGATGCACTTACTAATGGTAACATTTTGTATACGTAACCACACGAACGATAAAATAATATATATGAACTTATATAATTTACATGTGATTGACAATGATGACGACAGTGCCTTCATGATGGCGTTTTTTTTCTAGAAGTATGGTATGTGCGTTTAAAACATGTTCCTTAAGTTATTTTATCACATATTAAATGTGCTTCAGATCAGTGGAGTCGAAGGATGAAATATCTAGAAGGAGACTTTGATGTGCTGATATTGCTGTCGGAGAAGCTCAGACAAAACATTGTTGTAAGTGAATCTTATTTCGAGTAATTAATCGAAATTAATGTTAAAATTCGCATTTCAGACAATGTGAACAATCATGAACACTCTGCTGCAACATTCATTACAAAAGAGCTAGACATTTCTGCTATCGTGTGCCACATAGCTTTGACACACATTTTGTACCTTCATGCAGATACTGTAACGGATACAACTAAACAAGATTGTACTACACTCGTGAGAGCGTAAGGAATAAACTTCAGGATTCACAGAATTCACTGATTCACTTCTCATTTGGTATTTTCAGTTTCAACAAAATAAGTGCAGTTCAGAGAAAAAGCTACGTGAACCAACAAGAGTGAAAATTTTAACTCACCAAGGACGTGAGTATTGTTGAATATTTACTACATCCCAGGATGTTATTACAAATGTTCTGTAGTTGCTACGGATTCCAAACGTCATATACCATTTCGTGTCTAGTTCTTGAACCATACCGTGATGTGATCAAAATAGTATGGAGTTCAAAGCCAATATGATTTGCAGTCCTTTACTTTCTACTTTGATTTGGTTGTCAAACTTATACAAAAAGATGAAACGCTGGATACCAAACAATATTTCGTCAAAACTCAAAGAGCCGTCGTATATTGTTGTATACATGATCTGGTAACAGCGATAAACAGGTTAATGGCAATGACCATGTCTATATACATAGTGTTTGTGTTGTTTCTCCCTTTGATTTCCTACGTCTGCCTGTATTGTTATTCTAGAATAAGTATTATATTAATTACTGTATATAATATATTTATACAATTAACATTGTTAAAGTTATTTATAAAACTCTAGAATAACTGACAATTTGCATAAAAATCTAGGAGACATATACGTGTTCTTTTTATTATGTACTTTTGTTAAAGTTACAAACAATGTATATTTATTATTTTCAAAACTATTTTCAGCGGCTGTACAAGAAGCGGAGCTGGTTGCATGGCAAGAACGAGTGGAACAAGAAAAGAATGTTTTTCCTCTCCTACGATCGGTAAGAGTCCAAGTCTGTATGAGAAACAAATAGCAAAACATTATGTTTCAATAACACGCTGTTTGTACAAATATTTTAATAAATTTGCCACCCTTTTATGTTTTGTTTTTTGGTCCCAGGTTATGGAAAAGGACAGAACCAATCTCATCTATCAAGACATTAAATTGGCTCATCTAAACAAAGGTAAGCAGACATTATCATCTTACGACATTTACCAGAATATTGCTGACTAACGTGCGTTTCAGAGTAATATGAGTGAAAATATCTTGTTGACGACAGACACTTTTGCTGTGCAGTTTTGATTCTTACACACATGTATCAGTTACATGTATATGGCCATGTTTTTGGGTGGATTTAACTGTGACTTACATTAAATTAACAAGTGTTTGTGAGAGTCAGGTTTAAGGAAAGTGGTACCTAATTTCAATGATATTACTCAGTGTGTTAAACTTAACTTAAGAAAGAAAACCTAAAGTGACTCAGGTCGTAGAGTAAGTGAATAAGTGTTAGTATTGAACCACTAGGCTACATAAAGGTCCCTCCCAGGCAGTAGACACTGAGCATATTGGTTAAACGACGTACACCGGTAAGACGCTTGAAATCCGAGAGTCAGGTCGACAAAGGCTAAAGGGGCGCAACTCTAGCGCCTTTAGATAACATTACCACGTGTGACCCTTGTCAACAAGAATTATCACTAGTATCTATCATTTCAGCAAAACTATTTCTGAGAAATAATTGTTCTGTACTGCAGCTGCAGAATAACAACAAGTACATAATATCAATGTAACTCTGAAACCTAATACTTAGAGTACTGTACTGTTCAAGAGTTCAACATTTCAACCAGGTTTAACTAAATGCATATTGTAAATAAAACACTTCGACTCTATATACTTTTAGTTATCGTAAGTTATTAAAAACACATCTCCTGGTAATTAATTGATTCAGCAGTGTGTTTTTCAGAAATCTGCAGTTATTTAGTCCTTGGCTATTAACTCCTATAAGTGTAAATATATAATCATTTTTGTTGTTATTAATAAGCCACATTTCCGGCATAATCAGTGGTTTAATGTTTTTATACTAAAATAACTGAAAAACATATGAGAAACTAGTCAGGCGAAGGGACAATCTAAACTTCTTAAAAAAACTGTTGTTTTAGTCAAAGAGTGCTTCCCCCTTTTTACTATTAAGATATTCCTGAGCAGAATATTATAAATAAATTTTAAGTTGTATTAAAGTTTTGTCTCTGGTGTTATGGAGCTTGGACCTGCCCATAATCAAGTGAGGGATGGGATAGACTGAATTTAGTTGAATCACCCCACCTTCCCACAATTGCTTCAATCGAAATGTAGACGATATGAACTGTATTCGAAAGAAGGCTTCACCGACTAAACACACCCGAATTAAATCTTAATAGATAGACAATTAAGCTCATTTAGCGAGATGATTGAAATTGCGCTCGGAGTGTGTAAACACATCATTCAATGTGTAATGCTGCGTAAGTTGCAGATAAATTGAAAGCTGAATGTACATTTTACAAACCTTTGTTAACTAGTTTAGAAGCAAGGTCAAAATGCTCTAGAAACAGTGTAATGATTTGTCTGGCAATGCATATTAAATATGTAGTATTACGTACAAAAAAGGAAGCGCCAATAAAATAGGACAATATAAACAATATACGTGTGTGTATACAGACATATACATACTGCCAAGCTTGTCAACGGTATAAGGGTATACGAACAGTATAAGGTATAAGGATATATACCGAAACGTCGCCTTTAAAGTAAAGAAGTTGTTATCCATACATTTTCTCTACTTTGTCATCCGCCCACTTCTAAGTAATTCCTATCAAACAATTCATCCGTCGTCTACATTGAGACATGGCAATCAACACCATAGCTTGACAACGGACTAAGGATCTATACCGAAACGTCACCTTTACAGTAAATAAAGTAATTGTTATCCATAAATTTTCTCTACTTTGTATGGTATTTTAGTTTGGATATTTGACATATCCAAAGCTTGTACCACTTGAATAAGTTTGGAAATCATTACTTTTCTTCCTGTGTAAGATCCAACTCAATTTACAAATTGTCACTGTAATAATTTCAGCCTCCAGAGAAGGAGAAGAGAAAATGAAGGACTCGTCACAGAGTTCTGAATCTAAGTTCTGGAACCAACAGAACACAGCTCGTGCATTTCAGGAGTCGTCGGACGATGCTAAAGATGGATGGGAGCTACAGCACACAGATAACGTAGAGGCAGAAGGGCGTACGTACCTGTCATTTCATCACTACTTTCAACACATTGACTGGATGCATAAATATGAAATATCTATTATCCTAAGGGATAATGTTCGATTATGTTCGTATTGAAAAAAGACCTCATTATACTATTTACTTTTTTTCGAGGCATGCTTATGTTATAGTCGGAATCGTACGATCGACTCAGATTCAGTATTTCGTCAAATAGCTCACGTCTAAGGTACTATAATCATTTTTTTCAAGGAAATGATCTGTCAACACTATTAGTCGTCTTTTATGTTTCCAAAATAGAGAACTATCTCGGTACCTTTTTACAATAAACGAAGGATGTTTTAAAGATACATTTTCATACGGAAGGTGTAATGTGAACAGTCATTGATAAAGACGTACGTGCGCGTATATTATTGTTTTAGATCCTGAGAAGATCCCTGAAACGAGGGCGGAAAATAAAACAGGATCTTCTTCAACGGTAGGTGCCATGCTATTTGTTATTAGCTTGCTACCTGTCAACATTCATTGCATAATGTAAAGTTTGGTTCAACAGTTTAGTTAGTAAAATATGAATATGTAGTATCATTGTATACCGCTAGCTGTGTTTATCACTTCTAGTGGTGGTTGTAGACATTTACATTTTGTGCAGAAACAAACACCAGTACTGCCTTGTTACTACTAGATTAAAACACGGGGTTACTGTTGGGTACTGCAACAACTCCCTGGGTCACTGTTGGGTACTGCAACAACACATTGGGTTACTGTTGGGTACTGCAACAACACTCTGTTGGGTACTTCAACAACACTCTGGGTTACTGTTGGGTACTGCAACAACACACTGGGTTACTGTTTGGTACTGCTACAACACTCTGGGTTACTGTTGGGTACTGCAACAACACACTGGGCTACTGTGGGTACTGCAACTACACACTGTTGATACTGTTGGGTACTGCAACAACACACTGGGCTACTGTTGGGTACTGCAGCAACACACTGGGTTAGTGTTGGTTACTGCAACAAAACACTGGGCTACTGTTGGGTACTGAAACAACACACTGGTTTACAGTTGGGTACTGAAACAACACTCTGGGCTACTGTTGGGTACTGCAACAACACACTGGGCTACTGTTGAGTACTGAAACAACACACTAGGCTACTGTTGGGTACTGCAACAACACACTGGGTTACTGTTGGGTACTGCAACAACACACTGGGTTACTGTTAGGTACTGCAACAACACACTGGGCTACTGTTGGGTACTGCAACAACACACTGGGTTACTGTTGGGTACTGCAACAACACGCTGGGTTATTGTTGGGTACTGCAACAACACACTCGGCTACTGTTGGGTACTGAAACAAAACACACATGGTTACTGTTGGGTACTGCAACAACACACTGGTTTACTGTTGAGTACTGAAACAACACACTGGGCTACTGTTGGGTACTGCAACAACACACTGGGTTACTGTTGGGTACTGCAACAACACACTGGGTTACTGTTAGGTACTGCAACAACACACTGGGCTACTGTTGGGTACTGCAACAACACACTGGGTTACTGTTGGGTACTGCAACAACACGCTGGGTTATTGTTGGGTACTGCAACAACACACTCGGCTACTGTTGGGTACTGAAACAACACACTTGGTTACTGTTGGGTGCTGCAACAACACACTGGGTTACTGTTAGGTACTGCAACAACACACTGGGTTACTGTTGGGTACTGCAACAACACGCTGGGTTATTGTTGGGTACTGCAACAACACACTCGGCTACTGTTGGGTACTGAAACAACACACTTGGTTACTGTTGGGTGCTCCAACAACACACTGGGTTACTGTTAGGTACTGAAACAACACACTTGGTTACTGTTGGGTGCTGCAACAACACACTAGGCTGCTGTTGGGTACTGCAATAACACACTGGGTTACTGTTGGGTACTACAGCAACACACTGGGCTACTGTTGGGTGCTGCAACAACACACTGGACTAGTGTTGCATACTGCAACAACACACTGGGTTACTGTTCGGTACTGTTTCAACACACTGGGTTACTGTTGGGTACTGCAGCAACACACTGGGTTACTGTTAGGTACTGCAACAACACACTGGGTTACTGTTGGGGACTGCAACAACACACTGGGCTACTATTGGGTACTGCAACAACACACTTGGTTACTGTTGGGCACTGCAACAACGAACTGGGTTACAGTTGGGTACTGCAACAACACACTGATGGGTACTGCAACAACACACTGATGGGTACTGCAACAACACACTGATGGGTACTGCAACAACACACTGGGTTACTGTTGGGTACTGCAACAACACACTGTTTGGTATTGTTGGGTACTGCAACAACACACTGGGTTACTGTTGGGTACTGCAGCAACACACTGGGCTACTGTTGGGTACTGCAACAACACACTGGGCTACTGTTGCGTACTGCAACAACACACTGGGTTACTGTTAGGTACTGCAACAACACACTGATGGGTACTGCTACAACACTCTGGGTTACTGTTGGGTACTGCAACAACACACTGGGCTACTGTTGGTACTGCAACAACACACTGTTTGGTACTGTTGGGTACTGCAACAACACACTGGGTTACTGTTGGGTACTGCAACAACACACTGGGCTACTGTTGGGTACTGCAACAACACACTGAGCTACTGTTGCGTACTGCAACAACACACTGGGTTACTGTTAGGTACTGTAACAACACACCGGGTTACTGTTGGGTATTTAAGCAACACACTGGGCTACTGTTGGGTACTGCAACAACACACTGGGCTACTGTTGGGTACTACAGCAACACACTGGGCTACTGTTGGGTACTGCAACAACACACTGGACTAGTGTTGCATACTGCAACAACAAACTGGGTTACTGTTGGGTACTGCAACAACACACTGGGTTACTGTTGGGTACTGCAACAACACACTGGGTTACTGTTGGGTACTACAGCAACACACTGGGCTACTGATGGGTACTGCAACAACACACTGGGTTAGTGTTGGGTACTGCAACAACACGCTGGGTTACTGTTGGGTACTGAAACAACACACTGGTTTACAGTTGGGTATTGAAACAACACTCTGGGCTACTGTTGGGTACTGCAACAACACACTGGGCTACTGTTGGGTACTGCAACAACACACTGGGTTTACTGTTGAGTACTGAAACAACACACTGGGCTACTGTTGGGTACTGCAACAACACACTGGGCTACTGTTGGGTACTGCAACAACACACTGGGTTACTGTTGGGTACTGCAACAACACGCTGGGTTATTGTTTGGTACTGCAACAACACACTGGGCTACTGTTGGGTACTGAAACAACACACTTGGTTACAGTTGGGTACTGCAACAACACACTTGGTTACTGTGAGGTACTGGAACAACACACTGGGTTACTGTTGGGTACTACAGCAACACACTAGGCTGCTGTTGGGTGCTGCAACAACACACTTGACTAGTGTTGCATACTGCAACAACACACTGGGTAACTGTTGGGTACTGCAATAACACACTGGGTTACTGTTGGGTACTACAGCAACACACTGGGCTACTGTTGGGTGCTGCAACAACACACTTGACTAGTGTTGGGTACTGCAACAACACACTGGGTTACAGTTGGGTACTGCAACAACACACTGGGCTACTGTTGGGTACTGCAACAACACACTGAGCTACTGTTGCGTACTGCAACAACACACTGGGTTACTGTTAGGTACTGTAACAACACACCGGGTTACTGTTGGGTATTTAAGCAACACACTGGGCTACTGTTGGGTACTGCAACAACACACTGGGCTACTGTTGGGTACTACAGCAACACACTGGGCTACTGTTGGGTACTGCAACAACACACTGGACTAGTGTTGCATACTGCAACAACAAACTGGGTTACTGTTGGGTACTGCAACAACACACTGGGTTACTGTTGGGTACTGCAACAACACACTGGGTTACTGTTGGGTACTACAGCAACACACTGGGCTACTGATGGGTACTGCAACAACACACTGGGTTAGTGTTGGGTACTGCAACAACACGCTGGGTTACTGTTGGGTACTGAAACAACACACTGGTTTACAGTTGGGTATTGAAACAACACACTGGGCTACTGTTGGGTACTGCAACAACACACTGGGCTACTGTTGGGTACTGCAACAACACACTGGGTTTACTGTTGAGTACTGAAACAACACACTGGGCTACTGTTGGGTACTGCAACAACACACTGGGCTACTGTTGGGTACTGCAACAACACACTGGGTTACTGTTGGGTACTGCAACAACACGCTGGGTTATTGTTTGGTACTGCAACAACACACTGGGCTACTGTTGGGTACTGAAACAACACACTTGGTTACAGTTGGGTACTGCAACAACACACTTGGTTACTGTGAGGTACTGGAACAACACACTGGGTTACTGTTGGGTACTACAGCAACACACTAGGCTGCTGTTGGGTGCTGCAACAACACACTTGACTAGTGTTGCATACTGCAACAACACACTGGGTAACTGTTGGGTACTGCAATAACACACTGGGTTACTGTTGGGTACTACAGCAACACACTGGGCTACTGTTGGGTGCTGCAACAACACACTTGACTAGTGTTGGGTACTGCAACAACACACTGGGTTACAGTTGGGTACTGCAACAACACACTGATGGGTACTGCAACAACACACTGATGGGTACTGCAACAACACACTGGGCTACTGTTGGGTACTGCAACAACACACTGGGTTATTTTTGGGCACTGCAACAACACTCCGGCGTTACAGTTGGGTACTGCAGCAACACACTGATGGGTACTGCTACAACACTCTGGGTTACTGTTGGGTACTGCAACAACACACCGGGCTACTGTTGGTACTGCAACTACACACTGTTTGGTACTGTTGGGTACTGCAACACACTGGGTTACTGTTGGGTACTGCAACAACACACTGGGCTACTGTTGGGTACTGCAACAACACACTGGGCTACTGTTGGGTACTGCAACAACACACTGGGTTACTGTTAGGTACTGCAACAACACACTGGGTTACTGTTGGGCACTGCAACAACACACTGGGTTACAGTTGGGTACTGCAACAACACACTGATGGGTACTGCAACAACACACTGATGGGTACTGCAACAACACACTGGGTTACTGTTGGGTACTGCAACAACACACTGGGTTATTGTTGGGCACTGCAACAACACTCCGGCGTTACAGTTGGGTACTGCAACAACACACTGATGGGTACTGCTACAACACTCTGGGTTACTGTTGGGTACTGCAACAACACACTGGGCTACTGTTGGTACTGGAACTACACACTGTTTGGTACTGTTGAGTACTGCAACAACACACTGGGTTACTGTTGGGTACTGCGACAACACACTGGGCTACTTTTGGGTACTGCAACAACACACTGGGTTATTGTTAGGTACTGCAACAACACACTGGGTTACTGTTGGGTACTAAAGCAACACACTGGGCTACTGTTGGGTACTGCAACAACACACTGGGTTACTGTTGGGTACTGCAACAACACACTGGACTAGTGTTGCATTCTGCAACAACACACTGGGTTACTGTTGGGTAATGAAACAACACTCTGGGCTACTGTTGGGTACTGCAACAACACACTGGGCTACTGTTGGGTACTGAAACAACATACTTGGTTACTGTTGGGTACTGCAACAACACACTGGGTTACTGTTAGGTAGGGGGTACGGGTGGCCCAGTCATCTCAGGCGCCGCGATTCGCTGTGCGGAGTGGCGTCCCTTGGGCACGCCAGAAACCTATGATTGTGGGTTCGAATCCCTGTTCGCCCCGATTATGTTTCTAGGTTTGTCAGCACCATACCCGTGCTCGTGGGTTTCACCGGAGTGGTAAACGTCTGAGACCTGCATCACTTCGGCCTTTCCTCCCACATTGAGCTGACACGCTGCGATATAACTGGCCCTGTTAAAAGCGGCGTTAAACCCAACTCACTCACCCATTACTGTTGGATACTGCAACCGGCTAACATCCTTTGTTGAACACATGAAACTGATCATGACGATAACATGCATTACATACACAGTTCATGTAGAGGTTGATATTGACACGGATCAAAGCAAAGACGATTAAAATTGGAACTAATTTCAGGAGAAGCTGAACGATATCCACACTGAGGACAGGCCGGAACTCCAGGACACAGATGTTGGCGAGGCAGAGAGTCGTAAGCATCTGTCTCAATTAACCAAATATATCAGATTTTATTAACAAATCAAGATTTTGTTTCTCTACACTAGTGGTAAAACCTTTTCTTATACGAATTTTAGTGTTAATTTCAGCACAGGGAACATGATATATTCAGTCAGTCACGTGAAAACATATCCACTGTTGTATATATTACAGTAATTGTTTCTTCTCCAGGTACGCAAGAGATTGAATCTCTAAATGAAGAATTGGGCAGTTTAAAATCGGTAACCATTTCCATACTCTTACACTGTAAGAATTTTACACTCTTATCCATACAAGAAACAATATTTTTAGGTCGATTGTTCAAGCTACATTTATGTCAGATGTTTTAACTGATAATCAACTTTTACATCATCTTCAACAGAGAAATATGATGAGACTAAACCTATAATCTTGATGGAAACGATGATGCAAGTTCATTTGGTTTCAGAACAGAGATCACAAAACGAGACAACTCGACAAACTACAAACTGATGGTTTGACACACGGCAAGTGTAAATTTACTTAGGGCAGGACATGCTTTTCCTATTCGCGAATCGACACTGGTTATTCCCTGGCGTTATTATTTTATATGACACTAACAAAGGTCTTTCATACTATGCATCAACATGTTTCACAAGAGGACCTGACTACTTTCCCCAAGTGTTACCCTTATATATTGGTACAAGTTAGAAAATGACGGTCTGTTCATATTACGCAAATTACTATTGAAATGCATTCTGAACATGTATTTAAAACTTTGTCATGAAATACGGAGCGATAACGACATGAATATACTAATGGTGAATTAGCTTGAGTCCGGTTGTATATTCCTTTAGTTTAATGAGGAGATAAAAACAGCTTAAGATGCGCCATGTGTCTAGTAACACATGTTATGATTAATACCTTGTATCCTCCAGTTGAGTGGCAGAACTCTATTGACTACTTGATGAGGTACCCGGAAGTTCTATCCCTGTTTAATGTGGATCTGTCAGGACTGGACAGTGTTAGCATTTTCCATCGAGAAGACCAAGATAAAAGCAACCTGCAAAGAAGAATGACACACAGACAAAATACAGTCTCCTTGAAAGACTCAAAGCAGAGGGTAACAATTGCCTTCTTTTGACACGCTTCAATATGTTCATATACAGGCTAACGTGTATTGGTTATATAATTGTTGTTTTTCGCTGCTGTAAGAAATATTTCAACTCTATCATGGTGCTTGTTAGTGTATGATGCCACACAATCAACCAACTGAAGGGTCAATGTGTTAAGTGTGAGAACAGTCTTTCAGGATAGCAGGATATGATTAATTTCATATTGAGATTCCAACTGAGTTAAAGGTGTCTTGGTGGATATGTGACTGTCCTGTTATTTAGGATTTGTCACTTATGATTAAGTTGTATCGGGCATTGGAGTCAGTTATACTATTCTAGCTGCATCTGTAGGCAGTAATATGTGAACATATATCAACCATACCAGAGATACATTGTATATTCAACAATTGGTTACTCAGATGTTTCACAACACAATAACAACAGCTGATTTTAACGGCAGCCTATACCAAACATCAGACTCAACCATGTGAATTCACTCATAATCAGTTTCTTGGTTTGTCAGCGCAATACCTGTGTTCGTGGGTTTCAGGGAACAGGTAAACGTCTAAGACCTGCATCAGTTCCAGCATTCCTCCCACATCATCAACCTGACAGGCTGTAATACAACATAAATACTGTTTAAGGCGGTGTTCGGCTATATTCACTTATCCACTCACTCACTCATTCTCATCAGTAACACCGATGGCTACATGTTTAATATGGTCATGGAAGAATTGAGATAAAAACATTTAATGTAGAGCTATGTTAGCTCTAGATTTGTGATGGTGATAAATTGAAACTACCCGATGCCAAGTGTAAATGCTTCACATACAGAACAGAGATTGTAGAGGTATGATCATGTGTACAATGTGCGAGAAGCGTTGTTTGTGATAAATCAAAACCCCGAATAATTATCCTTGCATTTGTACAGATGTTGTCTACTTTTTTTACAGTTCTCTGGCGCAACATCAAAACTGGTTGTAGTGGAAAGGGAAGCTGGATACACTGCACAAGGTATGAATGGATCATTGTCAAAGAATGGAATAAGTTTCATAGCTGACTTGGCAGGAATTATAACTAAAATCATGTCATCTTCCTGTCAGTATAGGGGCACGGGTGGCCCAGTCGTCTAAGGCGCAGCGATTCGCTGTGCAGAGTTGTGTCCCTTGGGCAAGCCAGAAACCTATGATTGTTGGTTCGAATCCCGGTTCGCCCCGATTCTGTTTCTAGGTTTGTCAGCACCATACCCGTGCTCGTGGGTTTCACCGAAGTAGTAAACGTCTGAGATCTGCATCACTTCGGGCTTTCCTCCAAACGCTGCGATATACTGTTAAACCCAACTCACTCACTCACTCACTCACTCCTGTCAGTATAGTGAAACCTCAATTGGATGTGATTAACTTGTATTTAAACACATTCTCAACATGGAAAAGTACAGCAAAAAGTCTATAATCCTATCTAACACATGTATCAACACATTCTCTCAACACGTTATGTTCTGTGTAATCTACAGATGAACGTCACAGTCCCTACAGGTCTACAGGTCTTATTCATCTTTTGAGGAGGTACCAGCTGGGCTCCCTGAAGGAAAGAGATTTGACCACACTTACATTTGAGGTATAAATGGGGACATAAGGTAAAACATTACTGAAAAGATACTGTCGGAAATAGAAAACAGAATTTACGTTTCGACCTTAATTGTTTGCGTTAATAATTGTTTGCCAATCATGGAAAAAACTAATTTTAAAGTTATTATAACTGCGATTTGATAAGGTTAGACAATAACAAGGAGAAAAGGACAAACATGGAGTCTGACGTCCAGTGGAACAATGCCGAAATACTAACATTTATTTGAAAAATTATTGAATAAATGAGACATCAATGCAAATACAGATGTAGTTTTGTGCTCATAACGAAAAAACGACATAGTGTTACCACTACGCATAAATTCTATTAGTTCTGATTCAAAGCAATAACGCCAGTTGTTGATGCGATATAGAACCAGATTCCCAACAAGGCCAGGGTATTTGTAACGAACAAATATGTATGCGATGTCACACCGTGAAGCTTGTCACTGGCTCTGAACGCCCTAACGTACTCTTCAATGTTTTCTAGGTGATGGCAGAAGACGAGCAGCGACTCGCGGATCTGACGGCAAAGAATGCCTCCTTAGAAAAAGGTTTGTAGATTTGATATAGCTGTACATTCAGATTATTCAAAGTATGCCTTGAATAATTCTTTTATATGGCACCTTGAACCATATATTTACGTGTATGTCAAATGTGGAGTTTAAATGTTAATATCGCTATACCCACACAAAACATGTAATTAGAACAGTATCCTGTCATTAAAAATGGACGACAATGATAAGTTTTCCGCCGTTTTAAGCAAAAGGGCGTGTAAATCGCGAATGCTTATATGCAAGCAATAATAGTAACTGCTCTTCATATAAAGTTCAATAAAATTAAATTTATTCAAAATTTTAATAATGCATCTTTCAATAGACATTCATGAACATCCCCTCAACATTAAGATGCACGGCGCACGATTTGAATGTTTGCATGTTTGTTGGGAGCCTGATATTCACACAATGCAAACAGCACGCACTGATTGTTAGCTAACAAGTGCTCATAAAAAACACTTTTGTCTTACCGTAAATAACCCTTGCCCAGTGCCACGGTTTGCCGAAAATCAAAGCAACCTGTTGAGGGAGCATCTGGCCCCGACGTCCAGCAACACGCCCATTTTTGTTCCCACGTCAACGTCAGGGACGTCTAGCTTGGTGTAGACAGCATCTGAGGTTCAGAAGACAGGCTTGGGACAGTATACGTGTTTACAGATGAGTCCAGGTTACATCTGGATAGCTCCGATGGTCGTGCACGCAAGCGTAACTCACATTTATAAATTGTTATTGCAAGAGAATAACTAGCCTAGGTTTTCTGCCGAAACAGATTCTTCTGGGCGTAAAGGGAAAATAGCAGAGGAAAAACTTCTCCTTGACGCCGTGCACGACCATGGAAGCTATCCAAATCAATCCCGGATATGTGAACAGTATACTGTCCAAGGCTTGGAACGCTTGCATTACTCAACGTCGGCAATTTTAGGGACATAAGTGTAATGGTATGGGTTGCCATCACAACTTATGTTTGAACACAACTTATCCAAGTTAATGGCAAATTGCGTAACCTACGGAACGTCACGTTGCAGAAGGATAATACCCACCAATATGTTACAGTGTCGCAACGGTCATTTTGAAGCGGCATAGCATTTCTGTGCTGCCATAGTTGGCTGTTTCTCCAGATCTCAAGACAATATAACATGTATGAAATGAGACTGAACGACGCCTACGGCAGGACCAGATCCAGGTGTTAACGCCAGCTAAGTTGGACCAGTTAGCGCCAACTCGGGTGGGCCAGTTAACACCAGCTCAGTTGGGCCAGTTAGCGCCAGCTCAGTTGGGCCAGTTAGCGCCAGCTCAGTTGGGCCAGTTAGCGCCAACTCGGGTGGGCCAGTTAGCGCCAGCTCAGTTGGGCCAGTTAACGCCATGTAGGGAATCAGACACGGCTCGTCTTCGTGAGGAGAGAATGAAATAAGCACCTGGCTATCCTACCGCTCACTGTTGCATGGTAGATCGTTCATAAAGTAGCATGCAGGGCTTTATCTAGCACAGCAAGCTGATTGATGTCTTTGTTCAAGGGACGAGCTGTTTAACGTCGGCTTGTCGGAATCTTTGAAAACATGTATAACGGAACATATCTCATGATTAATGTCACATAGAAAAGTTCCAATTTGTGAAGCTCGATTTATCGGTTACTTTTCTTAGTTGTTGAAGAGGAATTGTTTACTTTTCAGATTTTGGAAGCACTGTACATATTGTTGGAGCTGAATGCCGGCCTGAAGCTATCTCATGTAAGTATTTCCTGGAGTGAGTTAGTGAGTGAGTGATGCCAATCGCTGATCTCAGTATTCATAGACTCCCTACTGACAATCACAGATCTCAGTATTCATAGATTCAGTACTGCCAGTCACTAATCTCAGTATTCATAGACTCCCTACTGACAATCACTAATCTCAGTATTCATAGACTCCCTACTAACAGTCACTGATCTCAGTATTCATAGATTCAGTACTAACAATCACCGATCTCAGTATTCATAGATTCAGTACTGACAGTCACTGACCTCAGTATTCATAGATTCAATACTGACAGTCACTGACCTCAGTATTCATAGATTCAATACTGACAGTCACTGACCTCAGTATTCATAGATTCAATACTGACAGTCACTGACCTCAGTATTCATAGATTCAGTACTGGCAGTCACTGACCTCAGTATTCATAGATTCAGTACTGACAGTCACAAACCTCAGTATTCATAGACTCCCTACTGACAGTCACTGACCTCAGTATTCATAGACTCCCTACTGACAGTCACTGATCTCAGTATTCATAGATTCAGTACTAACAGTCACTGATCTCAGTATTCATAGATTCAGTACTAACAATCACCGATCTCAGTATTCATAGATTCAGTACTGACACTCACAGACCTCAGTATTCATAGACTCCCTACTGACAGTCACTGACCTCAGTATTCATAGATTCAATACTGACAGTCACTGATCTCAGCATTCATAGACTCCCTACTGACAGTCACTGATCTCAGTATTCATAGGTTCCCTACTGACAGTCACTGACCTCAGTATTCATAGACTCCCTACTGACAGTCACTGACCTCAGTATTCATAGATTCAGTACTGACAGTCACCCATCTCAGTATTCATAGACTCCCTTCTGATAGCTGCTGATAGCTGTATTAGTGGAATCATAGCGACCGAGCTCGGTATCCACAGATCCTAACATCCACGATATGCACCACAGTGTAATTCAAAGGGATACCTGATTGCTTTACCTGTTTACAGGAGATGAGTTGTACTTCGTCTCTTCCAGAATATGTTGGGCTGAGATTAATGCATCACAGTCATGTCATAGCGAGTCAATTCTGCACAGCCAACCATTGTACATACATAAGTGTGATGCGGTTCTTTAACGGTCGGGCCCGTGAAGATCTGGGGTTAGAATAGGTCTTCGGCAACCCATGCTTGCCCTAAAAAGGGCGACTATGCCTCGTAAGAGGCGACAAACGGGATCGGGTGGTCAGGCTCGCTGACTTGGTTGATGCTTGTCATCGATCCCAATTGTGTGGATCGATGCTCATGATATCAATCACTGGAGTGTCTGGTCCAGACTCGATTATTTACAGACCGCCATCATATAGCTTGAATATTGCTGAGTGCGGCGTTAAACAACAAACAGACAAACAACATTAACAGTCGTGTGGCGTAGCTGTTGTTTACTTCCTGAGTGAGAGCTTTGCGTTCACACACTGAATGTGTAATATTTCTACTCAAATCTATCGGGGGTGTAAGCCTTGGAGGTTTTTTTTGGTCAACTGAATACTCCGTTCCAGAGGTGATTCCTTTTTCCTGTGGTATTTTTTGTAATGACTGAAACGGACGTAAAATATTAGCCAACATCTTTCCTGAAAACAAAAGTTTTCAATTGTATTCCAGGCGGGAAAATTTACAAATATTCTTGACTTTCGTTTTAACTTCTGAACGTTCGGTAATGTATAAAGAAGCAATTTGAATGCATGATAAATTCTTTCTGTGAGTGAGAAAAATGATCTTTCTGTCCGAAGTTGATCTGTACAGTGCACTGTGCAAGGCTCTTTAAAAAGTGTTGGACCCTACACCAGTATTTTATCAATCGCACATTATTTTAGGACATACTGATGGATATTGTAAGAACGATATAACCCTGAACAAAGATGTATATATGTTCTCAATCAAAGGTTATTCAATTGCTTTAACATGACATTAGTTATAGTATTACATCATCTTTTAGCCTGAAAGATCAAGCAAATATCTGAAAAAATTATTGTCAATTTCACACTACCAGTGATCCATTCCTGAAATTCTGGAGAATTTAGAACTATTCACAAAGGTGTTGTATTTAAATATGCTTAACCATTACACCAGTGAAGATCCGGATAAGAATAGATCTTCCACAACCCATGCTTGTCGTCAGAGGCGACAATGCGTGTCGTAAGAGGTGACTAACGGGATCAGGCTCTCTAACATGATTCGTGCATGTCATCATAACCCAAATGCGTGGATCGATGCTCGTTATTGTAATCACTGGAATGTCTGGTCCAGACTCGATTATTTACAGACCGCTGCCGCATAGCGGTAATATTGCGGTTTTGAGTGCGGCCTTAAACAACAAAACCCTTCTTTATTGCAATAGGCTTTTGTCAGCTTTGACTGAATCTCTATAACAATTCTTGTATAAGTACAATTATACAATCATGAATCTTATTCATTCTACACTGGAATAACTCAGAAAGCTGACGTTGTTGACGGACTTGCGACATCAATCACTGACCAGCGCTTGTGAACATTCCGCGACACACAGACTGTGACGATGTAACGGTGAAAGTGACTGAAGCGGACATAGAATATACCTGTTCATGCGGTGTATGATGAACAAAAAAATGTCAAAAATATCCTAAAACATGGAATTTTGTGGTTTATTTTTATCTTCTTTCGTAAAAGATTCATATAGAATCCACACACAAACACTTTTGTTGGGAAATTCACTCACTGAGGCCGTATTTCATACACGAACATCGTCCACGTCTGGCAGATATCTGCACAATGGGGGTAAATCAAAAGTGTACCAAAAATTCTGTTACATTGCCTTTTTCTGTGAATTATTCTATTTGTTTCTTAATGAAATGCATTTTGAATTCTCGTAGTAATAGTTTTACATTGTAATTAGCGCGCTAATATAGCGCAGTTGTTGGAGATATTCTGTACTGATGAAAAACACAGACGAACATTCAGCGCGCTGTTTGGTGACAAGCAAACAATCAGCCGATATTTTCAGTAAATCTCTTTCTGTGTCTCAGTTTGTAACAAACAGTGAAATAAACTTGCTACACAACAAATACAATGTTTATTTCCAGGTCCTAAACGTCACCTGGACGCGGCTGGGGCCAACACAAGATACTGCCACGTAACTACAGACGGTCAGCTGGTCAACTCGCGGCTCGCCATACGGTATAAGAGGCGGAACAGACTACAGAGGTACTGGGGGACCTGTAGCTCCCCCATCCCCCTTCCTCCACCCCCCTCCACCCTCAACCCCCACCCCACCACATCAACATACTGGGAGACAGAGACCAGGGTGCGGGTGGTGGAGGGAGTGCCGTGGTATGTCCTGGAGATTGGGGTTGTGGAGGCAGGACAGGTGGACAGTGAGTACTGTGTTTCTCTACAGCGTCGCTCCTGGAGTGTCAGTGTAGACAGATGTGACAGACACAGGGAGAGTTTCTGTACCACGGTGTGTCGGGAGGGGGTGCCGGGCGAGTGTCACCAGAACACCATGTCCCGCACTCCCGGCGCACAGGCCACCCTCCACTATGGCGTGGTGCTGGATGTGGGGAGGGGGAGAGTGGCCTTCATTGACTTGGACAGGGGGATTGTTCTTGGCAAGTATGATGAGGTGTTCCGGGAGCCTCTTGTCCCCATGTTTGGTGTTGGGCGGCTGTCATCCCTCCGCTCTGTGGCGATGAGTCTGATCAGCGGTGAGGATGTCGACATGACAGACACCAAGAGGGCCCTCGTCTACCAAGCGCTGAGATAGGAAATAAACTGGTTCTGTAAAGTTGTCTGTGTAACTGAGAGATTTCTATCAACTGTTTCAATGACAGGCGAGGAAAGTGAGTGAAGCGGACATAGAAGTGTTCGGTTTGTGTTGTGTTTGTTGTGTACAAAATACGACCAAGTTCTTCACATGTCTGGTTTCACTACTTTCCTCGTTTCTCATGGGACTGAAATACATTTTAAATACTCACAGTAATATTGTTATGATGAATCTATTGCTGTAGTTGCTGAAATTATGTCACAGCAACAACTTTCTGAAATGTGATGTGACACAGGAGTGAGTGCACAGACAAAATGTAAAATTTCTTTCAAAACAAGATTTCTTCTGCTTATATTGATTTAATACTATAAAATTAGTGTTTTAAATCCCCACATGACTATTGTTACGATGAAATTATTGCTGTAGTTGCTGAAATTATGCCCAGACAAAAATGAGCACAGACCAAATGTAAATAAAAAGTTGCTTCGAAACAGATTTCTTCAGCATATATTGATTTAATGCCATAACATAATTAATTCCAAACCACACATTATACTGTTTAGATGGGATTGTTGATGTAGTTGTGGAAACTAAACTGCCACAGAAAATGAAAGTCAACCTCAATGTCTGATTCTGGCAAAATGTTTAACAAACAAGAAATGATTATTCCACTGTGATGTACTTGATACAGGGATCCTGGTGGTGTTCTGTACCTAGTCACGTATATGTGTAATTGTATATGTTTGTTTTGTTTGTGTGTTTGTTTGTTGTTTAACGCCGCACTCAGCAATATTCCAGCTGTATGACGGCGGTCTGTAAATAATCAAGTCTGGACCAGACAATCCAGTGATTGACATCATGCGCATCAATCCACGCAATTGGGATCAATGACATGCATCAACCAAGTCAGCGAGCCTGACCACCCGATCCCTATTAGTTGCCTTTTACGACAAGCATAGTCGCTTTTTATGGCAAGCATGGGTTGCTGATGGCATATTCTACCCCGGCAATTGTATATGTACATGTGTGACATGTAGATATTGAGACCACATATTTAATTTAATCTATATAGTCAATATTTATTTAGTGAGGTATATAAAATACTGACCTGCACAAAAAATGTTTGTTTAAATTAAATCTGGTGAATATCTCAAAGTATTTTGGTGTCTTTCTTTTATATCTTACAGATGTATTTTACATTGTTCATAATCATGTACTTACTTGTAGTATGACTAAGAAATACATTGGCTTAGATATAAATTCGGAGATTGTAAAGATTACGGTGCCATGCAAACAAACATAACATGAATCTCTATGAGGTGAGGTGAGGTGAGGTGAGGTGAGGTGAGGTGTAATGTGGTTTAACGTCGCGTCCCAGATTATTGCACTAATACAGCGACGTGCAAGCACGTGTGTGTGTATGTGTGGCTGCTTGTACTAGTTCGGACATATGCCGATTTATAGTGCTTGCCCACTGAGATTCCATGCCACAGTTTAACATGAATACCCCATTCAGACACAGAATTACGTTCGATAACATTTCTGAAGTCATCAGTATTTGTGTAAATCAGAGTCATTGTTTATTAAAAAAACTCTATATTTTCCAGCATCATATATAATAAAAACAAAACCGATAGGTCAGTTCAATGGAAGGTAGCCAAGTTGTGCTTCATTCACTCGCCATTCATTTGCCTCGTACATGTTGTACCTGCTGTGTCCATGGTCATAATGGGTTTCCTTTACCATGTTAAATGGAGACACCAAAAGGACACATGTTGTTGTTTACAGATTTGTTTGCTTGTTTGTTTAACGCCACATTCAGCAATTTTCCTGCTTTATGGTGACAGACTGTACATAATCGAGTCTGTACCAGACTACCCTGTGATTGAAATCATGAGCATCTATCTACACAATTGAGATACAATGACATGCATCAAAGTCAGCAAGCCTGACCACCTGATCAAGCATAGCTGCCCTTTTCAGCAAGCATGGGTTGCTGAAACCTATTCTAACCCGGATCTTCAGGGGTCCTTTTTGAAGAGAAGAGAGGTGAGGGGACACGGGGTTTAACGTCGCGTTCAAGATTATTGCACTGATATAGTGATGTGTGTATTTGTGGCTGCTTGTGCTAGTCCAGACTGATGCCGATTTATAGTGCTAGCCCACTGAGATACGATGCTGCAGTTTAACATGAATACCCGACTCCGACACAGTATACTGACTCTAAGCCGACCAGTCCTTGTTTTAGCCCATTAATGCCGAGCACCAGACAGGGTAATAACAAGTATCATCTTGTTACGTCTTTTGGTCTGACGCGGCTTGGAACCCTGAACCTCTACGCTGGACGCTCCACCACAAGACCACAGCAGTGGTCAAAGAAAAGAGAGAGCTGACACACAATTTCATCTACAATGAACTCCACATGTACGTGTTACGGATTTGGGCATGTTCCACTGAAACAGCAGAACATTACATTAAAAATAAACAGTTTAATACCGCACACAGCAATATTCTAGCAGCCTGTAAATGTCGAGTCTGGACCAAACGATCCAGTGATTGATATTGTGAGCAACAATCCAAGCTATCGCGTACATTGACACGCAATTAAGAGTCACCAGGTCCCACCACCCAATCCACCATGTCCGCTACAACTATTACATGTTGCTTTGGACCTATTCTAACAAGGAATCACAATGTAGGAGTACATACATAGGACATATTAATTAATTTCTCATAATTATTTTATTTTTTCTTCAATTTTTAAGATTTCTGAAAGGTGTTTTTTATAAACATGAAAAGATATATATTTAAACCTAATGAAATGAGACTATTCAAGCCTTTGAATATAATGGAATATTTCATTTCAGTGAATTAAAGATTATTTCAGTGATATGCTGTACCAGCTTGCACGGGAAGTGAAATGACTAACACTTTGATGATACCATGAACTGACAAACCTAGGGTTGGTATCAGGGCGAAAAGGGCATTCAAACAAAAGGTCAGCGGATCATTGAATAACTAAGGGACGCAACTCTGTTGTAGATAATAACACAGTCTGAGAGGCCTCATCAAGTGTATAATGAATAAATGTTGCATGTGAATAAATTAGCAATATTTCAGCTGTATCATGCATGACAAACTGTAAATAAGGTGAGTGAGTGAGTATTGTTTTACGCCGCTTTTAGCAATATTCAAGCAATATCACGGCGGGAATCGAACCCGGGTCTTCGGTGTGATGAGCGAATGCTTTAATCGTTAGTCTACCCGACCGACCCTCTGTAAATAAGGAATCTGGACTAAACAGTGATCCATGCAGTTGGGGCAGGATGATGCACAATCACACTTTGTAACCATCCAATCCTCACTGGTCTGACAAGCTCAGGATACTTCCGATCTATTCTGCCCTGGAAACCCCATTCGGCCAACTTACGGGAACATGGAAGTGGGTAGTGCCAGTACGAAAAGCCTCTTTAGTCTTCTTTGAAATGACAAAACACTCAAGAATTATTGCATCGGTTTAATTTGAGAACAGATCTGCACAATAGGCATTTAAAACCTAACATAAATACAAACTCAGTCATTATAATAAAATGGAAAATAAATAATGATGACTCTTGTCCTACGACATGACTACTACTGTCTGCAAGCAAAGACACTCTTCACCTCTCCGAGATGACAAGCACACGTTCACCCAGTGAGGTATTTACCTCGTGTTGAGTTACTATGGTGATGTGAAGATCCGACAGATGACATCAAATACTAAGACACACACGATTTGGTCTGAATAAACTTAGCAATGATAATGATAGACAACTCACTAGCTACTGACAAGTCACCAATGTTCAAAAACATCACAAAATGTTGGGCAAGAGGAATTAATTAACCAAACACTGCATTTCATGTATTTAAACATTCAGGGTTAATGTTGTTTTTAAGTATGGGCGGCATTAGGTTCCAATTGAAGACGTCCTAGTCTGTTTCCTTTGAACAAGGTGAAAGATCTTACTACTTCCATGAAATGAGAAAGCCAAATAGTGACTACTAAACTGTTTGAAGCAGATAGCTCATTGTGTTAATTAGGGTAACTTTAATGTGATCCAATGTAAGCCTTCATGTAAGAAGATGACCTCTTGTATCAATGGTCAAGTAGGTCCTGAACAAAACGTCTACTGTGGTAAACTAAATGTTTTAGCATACTTTTACTGTAGCTGTCAGGAAATATTCACTTCTGATTTGCTTTCATTCATAACAGTTGCGGTTGTATGTGATCACAAACCTATTTCTATTTCAACACTGGGAATTCAACATGAGGCACAAATTGAGTTATTTAGTATAAGATGTCATCTGTCAATGGCTGAAAGGTAGGTAATGAAGGCATGTGGTTAGTCATGAGGTTGTCGTCACATTTCAGTAGGTGTGCTGTAGCAAGTGACATGGCATGGCTGAACACCGTTACATTCTTTAAAGGGGGCCTGGTGTTTCACTCAAGGTCTATATGTTGTCATGTGCCATGCAGGATGCTAAGATGACGTCTGTGAACTAAGGTTAAACCTTAACTGACACATGGATTTATCATTCAAAACTGTCCTTCACAGGAGATATGGCTGCAATGATATTGCAGCACAATACTTTGCAGTCTATCTGATCCTATCGGGTACCAATGATATCACAATAAGATGACGTAACTAATCTCTGAAATTGAAGCAGGTAAGCTCTACTTTTAACACTCAACACACTAGTGTTTACTGTTTACAAAATGCCAAAAAAATCAAGGAATGAGTTTGGAGAATGGACAGAATCTTACCCTGGTGCCTTTTTAAATAAAATTTATCAACACTTGACAATAAAAGTTTAAACTCCTGGGCAAACCTCGGAGCTGGAAACCTAAATCTACTCATGTTGATATATTTAGTATGAAAAGACATTTGAGTGAGATTCTCTAATTACAATATAAAATTTCAAAAGCGGGTTTTGTATCCATTGAATGAAACTTGCTGGGACTGCCAATCTGTCCGAGCATAGTCCCCCTTTAACTTTCAAGAGTAAGTTACTGAAAGTTGTCACGAGATGTATTCATGTAAGTACATGGTCTCGCTCTTGACCTTTTACCTTGATACATGTTGTACACACCATAATGAATCAAAATTGAATGAATCTACAAATCATTCCTTGACATGTTTTGTGAAGATACTTGAACCGCCCCTGAACATTGTAACTTGCTACAGCACTGTAACTCTCTCAAGAGGAGGACATGAAAATAAGGGCAAACTCCAAAGTTAAAACAACAGAGAACACATCCTGATTTTACAATGTGAACCACATCTATTTGTTGAAGAATGTACGTACAAATTGACAGTTGTAAACCCTAACAGTATTTTCAGCATATCAACCCCATAAACCTGATCTTTTCTGTGTGGTTATATTTCCATTTTCCTCCTCTTTGAGACAGGAACTTTTTGTGTTACCATGGCAACAGGATAAAGTCAATCACAGCATGAAATTAAGGCAACAACAAGGTAATTACTAAATTTCCATCCAAACATCAGATACAATCCTTTTTTTTCTGAAACAACCGTAATAAGGATTGTAGACCTTAGTAAAATGTACTCGAACTCAGAGGAACACAATGACTTTTCACAGCTTTACCTTCTGACAAAAGTCAGTCTACTTCAAGGGTAGCAGGAGAACAGAAGTTCATCTGAGGAGTCCTTAGATTAAGACTTGGATTTTTTGGCCACTTGTTTTTACGTATTGCAAGCATTATTGAGTAATCCGAACAACAAAAACTGATCACACACACACGTGAAAATATACTAGTATGTCGCTGTTCCCTATCCTGCTACACCCATCAGTACGACTGTATTTCATGTGTCAAGTAATCAGGATATAATGATTCCTGTCGCGATGCAAGTGTTGCGTACATCGATCTACATACCGGGTGTATTTACATCAACGTGACTTTCTCCACCTTGTTCATGGTCACCCATGTTCACATGATCCTCCGTTCAACCTGAACTGTTCAGGAAACTGTTCACTTAACATGGCAACAGTTAATCTGTACATGAACGTGAATGTACATAAGAAAAGATGTAAAAAATCAGAGGTATTCTAAACAGTTGCTTGTTTCAGTTGTATGACCCTTATTCTATGCCACAAACATCTTATTTAACAAAGACTAAGAGTAAACACCCAAAATGTAGTGCTACTTCTGTTAGGATCTGTGAACAAAGGCAGCCATGAGGCTTGGAGAATTCTCATCATGACAATGCAATGTGCAGATGTAATTATGCCTCATTATTGTACATGAATATGAGCTGGACACTCCTGTCACGTAGCAGCAGATTGTACGTCCGTAGGAAGCAAGACGCCCCAGCCCAGGATCTCAACCAAGACCTTGTACTTTCTGTGCCCATTTTACTTGGTAGGGAATACAAGACAAGACCATCAAAACAACATGATCAGTTTGACTGAGGCTAATTTGGCCTGGACAGGAAGGTTCAACCATATCTTATAATTAGGCTTCTTTCTTGTCAATCCGATCAAAGAATGTACACAAGTCATCAATCGTGTATTTATATTATTAACTGTTTCATATCCTTGAAATAATGCCTGGTAATCAATGCAAACTGATACTTCAGATTTGGGGAGTTTAATTACTATAGCCATATCAAGCCTCATTTGAGTCATGACCATGTTGTGTTCAGCATACAGCAATATGGGCCACTCCATATCTAGTCACACCAGACAGGTGGGCCACGCTATGTTCAGAGGATGCCTCAACCAGATACAAAGCAAGATTGAACACCTTCACACCAGACAGGTGGAAATGACCAAGATGTATACAGCATCTGGCTGAAGACCTACAGCAAGATGGGACACCTCCACACCAAACAGGTGTAACTGACCAAGATGTAAAAGACATCTGGCTGAAGACCTACAGCAAGATGGGACACCTCCACACCAGACAGGTGGAACTGACCAAGATGTAAAAGACATCTGGCTGAAGACCTACAGCAAGATGGGACACCTCACTACCAAACAGGTGCAACTGACCAAGATGTATACAGCATCTGACTGAAGACCTACAGCAAGATGGGACACCTCCACACCAAACAGGTGCAACTGACCAAGATCAACACCTGGCTTGTATCCTGCTGAAGACATACATGAGGCATTTCCATATCTCTGCACATCAGACGGGTGGTCAAGGAGTTGAGTCTTTCAGTGTCCATATCAGCATCAGGTAATGTTCAAATTGACTGTATTTGTCCATCTGATATATCAGTTCCCAAATGTGGACTTCTTTAAAAGACCACAATACCAAAACGACGTCTTCAATCCTGTTTTGTCTAATGGCAGATTACTATTTCATAACCGATCTTCACTGGCAATGTTTCAATCTTCTCTTGTTGCAATCTGCAACAACTGATCTTGATCTTACTGTTTTAACAAAATGGTCATTACTTGCTCAAGGTTTTAAGGAATGAGACCACTGGTGCTGAGAACAAACCATTTGAAACAGGATTTAGTTGTCACCTTCTTACTGTTTCATGCCGTACAAGAGAAGATTGGGATGGATATGCAGCATAAATCTCCTGTTTTCCAATGCCAAAGTCAAGGTTAGTTCAAGTACCACAAATAAAGTCGACTGCTTGTCTCGTAAGCATGGAAGTATAATACATTATGTACATGTCAATGGTAACCAGTGGTGACGGCCAAGAGAGCAGCTGTGTTCACAGAGCGAGAAGGGCATGGTGCTTTCAGCTCCAACATTTCAGCATGGCTAGCAGAGCTACCAGTAGAAATTATTTTGCAAAAGACTTTTTTCAGCTTACATTTTCATCTTCTAACCATTGTAGTAAAATTTAAATATTCCAAACAAAGTCTCTTTAAACATAGCTGAATGAACAAAACCGAATCAATAAACCATTTATTCGGTCTCATCACAAACATAAGATAATGTCAAATTTCGGTACATATCTTGGAAATATCTTGTATTTTTCAGATACCATGGTAATATGGAGCAATACACATGATCATTTTTGTTTTCAATACTAACATTGAAATGTTGGCTTTTTCCTGTTTGTGTTTTCAGAGACCATTGGAATGAGATGTCTTGTCAAATGAACAAATCAGTGTAAATTCTTAAGGGCACATCCGCTTTGTGAGACGCTCTGTAACACAGCTGGTCATGCCTTGTTCATCCATTGCAACACTGTTGCACTGTACACAGTGTTGTGTCCAACACTCACCCCAGTGAAATCTGTAGATTCTTCCACTGCAAGAGCATGGAAGGTTCCATACAAGACTTTTGGGGGAGTTACAAAGTGTCGAATATACCAGAGAGAATTCTAATACTTTCATAAGCACCTGGCTTATGAAAAATGTTAGTCTCCTGAAAAGGGACTCACAGATTTGATTGCCTTTTAACATTACTCTTTGAAATCAGTCAAAGCTGGTGCTTATGAAATCATTACAAATCTTCTGTCATCAAAGTCATACGCTGTCAAGTTCATGATAGTGTTTGCAATCTGCTAACAGATATACAATGTCCAAAATATGCTTTATCATAAATATACAATGAACTACTATAACGGCTACATTAAACACACATGTTAAGTTCATAGACTGAAATGGCAAAAACATGGGACATTGCAGTTTTCAAATGCAACATCTATTAATGAGTAAGGTGACTGGATTTCTTCGGCCTATTCTTCAAAATTGGTTATTACAAACAAAATAATACCAATCCCAGAAAAATATATAATCACACAGAAACTGGATGTGATGTTCAGAAGATACAGATGGACCAAACTTCATTTGATAATCTGTATATTGAAGTTCAACAACCCTGTATTCTACCTCCTACCAAATCACGTATTGGTTACCCTAGGATTCGGTTTTATTTTATACTTGCAAGAAGCTCAGAATGTAGGAAATCATTTTACACAATCTCTGATAATTACAAGACAAAACATTTTTAATTTTATTCCATGGTTCAATGTCTCAGAAATATGCAAAACATCTTCTACTTGTAATTTGCTCGAAGAACAAATATGTTTACCAATTTAATCCCATTTGATTACTTCCAAACAATTACCAATGATATGTGATATAACAAAATGCACAGATATACAAAGAAGGTATTTAATATATAATCTTAAACCAAAAACCAACGATCAAAGGGAGACAATCTATTGACATCCAGTTATCACCCCATTATAGGTTCTCCTTTTTCAACACAAAAAAACCCTGACCAATGGCTATGACAATTTAAAGACTAAATGTCAAGATTTATCAAAAGCATTATTAAAATTGTAGAAGTGAACACTTTGTCAAACATTTATTCAGCCCTTAGACCCTTGATTTCCCTTTGATAAAGGATGTGAACTCTCAGTATTTCATACCAATATAATAACACTCAGTTCTGATAGTACGGAAATTAGCAGGAAAACAACAAGCCTCGCTTCTTCTTTTTTTGGTGCAGCTGAACTGCATTTTTTTCTATTCTAAAAGCCATGAATTATATTGATATGTCACAATACACAACACAATTGGATATAAATATGACGCAAATACTAGTTCACAAACGCAGATGTTTACACACAACAAAATGTGTGTATAAACGGTAACATGAACCCTTTCTTTCGAAAGCAGTTTTTGTGATTCACAAGAAAGGAGAAGACATGTTTATCTTTTTTCTTCAATCCCTTTTGTCCGTATCATTTGGAGTAAGTATCTCTCAGACACCACTGTCTGGACAGATTTCTCCTCACTATCAGGCACAGCAATCACAAACTTATATTAACCACAACACACGTTTAGTCTCACCTGTGATATTGTAACTGCTCCCAACAAGAAGGGACAGAATCAAAACAACACTTTCTGTCCTTGCACAACCAATGTCATTCATCTACGGAAAGGAATCATTTGCTGTGTCTGCAATAACGTGAAGAAATCTACCCATGTGAGCAGTGCCAGTAAAGTGACTCCTTCCTCCTCCATGACTGCATGAGATGTAGGGATGCAAGGTCAAGGATGGAGAAAGTGACTCCTCCCTCCTCCATGACTGCATGAGATGTAGGGATGCAAGGTCACGGATGGAGAAAGTGACTCCTTCCTCCTCCATGACTGCACGAGATGTAGGGATGCAAGGTCACGGATGGAGAAAGTGACTCCTTCCTCCTCCATGACTGCATGAGATGTAGGGATGCAAGGTCACGGATGGAGAAAGTGACTCCTTCCTCCTCCATGACTGCATGAGATGTAGGGATGCAAGGTCACGGATGGAGAGAGTGACTCCTTCCTCCTCCATGACTGCATGAGATGTAGGGATGCAAGGTCACGGATGGAGAAAGTGACTCCTCCCTCCTCCATGACTGCATGAGATGTAGGGATGCAAGGTCACGGATGGAGAAAGTGACTCCTCCCTCCTCCATGACTGCATGAGATGTAGGGATGCAAGGTCACGGATGGAGAAAGTGACTCCTTCCTCCTCCATGACTGCATGAGATGTAGGGATGCAAGGTCACGGATGGAGAAAGTGACTCCTTCCTCCTCCATGACTGCATGAGATGTAGGGATGCAAGGTCACGGATGGAGAAAGTGACTCCTCCCTCCTCCATGACTGCATGAGATGTAGGGATGCAAGGTCACGGATGGAGAAAGTGACTCCTTCCTCCTCCATGACTGCATGAGATGTAGGGATGCAGGGTCTGGGTGGAGAAAGGATAAGCCTTGACAGGAACTTGGCAAATGTCATGACTTCAGGCATCTCCAAACAACTGCAGATCATTGACAACATGTTCGAAATTAGAAGCATGGTCACAGTTGGAGATGGTGATAACACAATATTTGCTCAAGTTCACCTGAATGTTCATCTGAGAGGTTGTTCCTCTTTCGAAAGAAGTCGCAAGTCGTTCCATAGACTTGAACAATGTCCAGCTTCTGGAAGCTTTCACTGTCACATCAGTGAAACATTTCTCCTTAGTTTGTCCTTGACGTCCACTATGAGGACTGTCCAATGGTCACATGACTTCTGTCTGGCTTGACCATTACTTGATGTCCAGTCCTAAACATCAGCTTGGCCTTCAAGCTTTTCTTGTTGGCTGGTGTCCAATGATTATTGGATATTGTCTGTCCAACGGACATGTTGGTTGTTCATCCATAAGGATGTAATTCTCTGTTGTTGGATTCCCATCAAGATGTAAGATAAGCTGCATCAAAGTCCCTGTCATTTTGGGGGAAAGTTTACAGCAGTTCGTATGTAGCAGAATACATTTACTGCACTTTACAATATCTGCTATTAAATTAAACTGTTAAAGCCAATAACATTAAATAGCCAACAATTATTACATGTATAAGATTTCTTTTTTCTGATAAGTTTTCAGAATCTATTTTGTTTTAGAAAAATAAAAATAGAAAATAAAAAAATATATATATCCCATCCACATCTTCTCTGTTACATTGTCCTAGTCATGAGAGAAGACTGAACACTATTCTACAGGGATAATTATTGGTAGAATGTAGACTTAGTATCTTACATCTTGTGGAAACAATGAGATAAACAGGTGTCATCTCATATATAGTCGGTACAATTCAGATTTCTTTTCTTGTGACAGGAATCCATCACTGACAAAACAAATCTCGTATTATGCATTTACAATAATATGTTCTCTACACAAGAAATTATTCAACAGAAGGGTGACTTTCATTCAATGTGAGAGTAACAATAAACAGCATACTGTAGTATGTATTGATTCAACAATCCCAAAAAGCTTGTTTCGAATAAAATAGTTTGGATGACACTTTCAAATGTATAATATGGCCATAGCTTCACAATTACTCCATATTCCAGCGTACGATATGGCGTAATGCTGGCAGTTAGTCTATGTTCAAATGGAAACTGATACAGATATCTTTTTATGATGCATATTAAAGTAGTCGCAAAGGTGGTGCAAAACAATTCATAATAAACAGCAGCTTATAACATCTGTGACATCCTAGCAATTCAAAGCTAAAGGAACTGCATCTGGAACAATGGTTTCTATTACCATCAAAACAAAATTATGCTGTTAGCATTTAAAATTTTACACTTTAGAGAAGAAAGTAGACTAGTGGTGGCTCTTTGAGGGCAAACTTCTGTAGCAGCGGTCTTCATTGGCACCTTCTTCATGTAAGCTGCACCATAACGCTGAAGACACTCCAAATAAGTCAAGTCGCAAGTTGGATTCAGCTTCAGTGTGTCCATTATCGATTTTAATGTCACAAGAGTGCTCTCCCTTTACAAGAGTGCTCTCCCTTTACAAGAGTGCTTTCCAATTGCCTCCATTCTCTCCAGGCACAGGTTTTAAGTTCTTCAGTCAATCAAAATAATTTATTGTTTCAACACACACAACTTGTCTCAGTTAACATAAGCTTTATGCACTAATACTACACTTCTAGAGAATTTCTATTCACAAAATTTGGCAACCTCAGCAGCAAATTTTCATCAGTGGTTTGTGTCGCCATTTTGGAGTACACAAATCTTTCAGGTATAAAACTCTCGCCAGCACTCATCAATAACTGAGATAACAAACCAGGTTGGGGTTAGCACTAACTGCACTGTGTGTGGGAGCACAATTGGGCTAGCTCATGCAGTAGATCACTCACTCAGTCATGGTAATATAAGTACTTTGCACAAGGATTGTCCAGAGGGAGACCACTCTACTCTCCATTCACCATTTGTTCTTTGGTTTTGGCAGGATTGTTCACTTTAGATTTTGCACTTTTAGAGTCTGAGTCACTTCCACTGGGTTGATTTGCCACCTTCGCTTGTGCTGGTGGTTTCCGGGGCTCGCGTTGCTCTCTCGGAGCCTCTTTCTGAGGCCGAGGAACCTCCCGAGGAACCTGGGAGGAGCTGGCATCACCAGCGCCATTCATCTTATCAGCATTATTTACAGAGTTTTTGTAACCTTGGTTACCCGCCGAAGCAGAAAGCTGAGAACTGGACTGTCCGCCTTCAGTTCTGCCAGCAGCCTGTTGGGTGGGAGGGGCATTACCACCCCCTCCTCGTACCCCACCCCTCGGGGGCATACCACCATACCGGCCACTGCCTCTAAAGTTGGAAACACTGGTGTCGGTCTCAGTGCCTGAAGTAAATCCTCCACTGCCGCGAACTCTGTTTCGCCTTCGCCGTCTCCGCCTGTCCCGCCGCCTGTCGTAATCTGGTTGAAAGAAATCACATTGGGTTTATAATTTGTTTGTTTGCTCAATGCCACACTCAGCAATATTCAAGCTATATGGTGGCGGTTTACAATCTGTGATTTGAAAATCTATTTTTGGTATTCACCTGCAACACTGGAGAGCCTAGCTTGTGGTTATCTGATGATACCAGCCTGACAAGATTGAAGACGTTTATGATTTTGGTTTGTTTTTTCTTTGTTTGTTGATTCACACCACACTCAACAATATTCCAGTTATATGACGGCAGTATGTGAATGTGCAGGAGACACCAGAAATGGGCTTCACACACTGACTGTGGGGAATCGAACCCCGGGCCTTTGGCTTGACGAACAACAAACAAGAGCTAACCCACAGCCTCTGGCACAAGACAAGATACAGACCACAGCTTCTTAGGGTGCCTGGGCCTAATATGCCCTCAAGAAAATTACCAAACGATAATAAAGACAATATCTAAACATCCATCTCTATGTAAAAAAATAATTACCTTGATCTTGGCTGTTGACACTGGCGTTATCTAGGACGGTATCATCATCATCAGTCATCCGACGACGTGAACGGCTATCGCGGGAGTCATCATCATCATTGACTACAAACAAAGGTTAATGAGTACATTACAAAATACAATAGTTCTTTGGCCATATTTTGTGAAAAAGTTAATAGAAAATTAGATAAAGGATGCATGTATAGATCAAAGGATTAACTTTTTACGAAATACAATGAATGATTATAGTCTTGATTCTATAAAATTATTCAAGTCATGCAGCTATACAAATATATATTAGTCAAGCAAACGCACAACTGCACCCAATAAAACATACCAATTGTTGTTCTCTGTTCAAAAAGGTTTAGTATCAAACAAACCAAATGCAGAAATAACAAGTCAGGCAGGAAACAAGCTGGTGTTCTTTTCATATTTATAACAAAAGGGGCTATATTTTATTAATTTCAGAAACATAAAATTAGTTCCAATGAAGAGTTCATGGCTAAGACTAAACGAAACTACACCAGAAGCAATTCCTGAGCATTTGAACTACACCTAACACAAAATCAAATCCTCTTAACAGCAATTTTAACTAAATTCTTTATTTATATTTCCTCAAAAGATCAAGAAGAGGGCTTTAATTACTCAATTTTAAATAATTTATTTATATTGATAGCAACAGTAAATGAGTTGGCTTTTAAAAGGCATTATATTTATTTCTGGTCAGCGAAATAAAAAAAACCACTGAATTTTTTTTTTCTTTTGACATTTCAATTTCTGTTGGAGTCCAACGGATTTGCGACCATAGTCATACCTTGATATTTACTGACAAAACTTCTAGAAAATATTCCTCCTGACAGTCCCCCAACCTGAATCTCAGTTTCTCGAAACCTTTCCAAGGAAATTGGGTCCCTTCAATAACCCAGAGAGAAAACATTCTCCCAATGTACTCTCATCTCTTCAACAAAGCCACACGCATCACTCCTCATGCTGCCAGAGTTAGTTCCACAGTGGAGGTATTAACAAGCTCATGGAAGGGAAAAGCAAACAACATACATGTCCGTGTGACTTTAAGTCTCAGGTGATCTGCCGTATTATTGTGTCCTCGATAGCCATCGTAGTGTTCGTAATCTGCCAAACAGAGAACAACCCTACAGCATGCCGCTACCTACCAGAACCATGCAATACAAGATGTGCCCACAATGTCCAGCTTCCGCTCAAACACAGTAATGCTGGAGAAGTCTTGCTCCAATGTAAATGTGCAATGGCAGATCAAAGCTCATGTAGCTCACCTGATTTTATTACCAGACTGTAAAGCTCACCTAGATCATATTATAAAATGCTGTTTCAAAACTATTCAGTTAAAATGTCTGAGTATTACATCAATTTAGTCAGGTATTAGATCAACTTTTTTAACATCATTCAAACATAATTGCAACAAAAGGTAAAGCCTTTTCAAGACAAAGATCCTTCTTTTCCAGGCGAAAAATAACACCCATGTGTGCTTTCGAAGAGATAAGGATTCTTACTTTATATCACTATCAGAATGGCTCTATTTATACATCCAAATACACAAAAATATTCAAATCCACACACAAGTTATAACACTATTCATCAAAAGTGTGAGCTGTTGAAGGAACACTTAAGTCCCGTATTTTGGGTTCTCTTCTCACCAAACTTTTCTGGGATGATAAAATAAGAATACAGTGAAGCCAAATCATTTTCGGGAATGATGATCAGACCGTTGTCTTATTTCTCCTTCTATGAGCATTTTTATTAATTGACTATTGTTCCTCCCATTACAGTTGTTTTTATTTTCATTTTCATTTTTTTAATTAAAATCCTAATACTTAAACACAATGCACACAAAAGATTTAAAATGGAAACAAAAAACAAGACTATTATTTTTTTTTAGCCTAAGTTAAATTTAAGTATGGCCATTGGACACATCCCATTTCCATGCATGCATGCTATACTGCAGATAGAGTGAGTGAGTGAGTCAATAGGTCTTAATGTTACAGTAGCTATATATCACAGTTAGTCCACCAAGGTTTCTTTGCTTGTTGTCTAATGCAGCACTGAGCAATATTCCAGCCATATTCCAACCTGTAAATGATGGAGTCTGGACCAGGCAATGAAGTGAATGATATTGTGGAACAACATTTCAAGCCATCAATTTTATAATAAAGTCATCGTGTCTGCCCACCCAATCCATGGGCCAGGCTATTACGATCAGCAAAGGTTGCTGGGAGTAAGTCTAGACCATAATTCCACATGGGGCTTCTGTGTTGAAAGATCAAGTGTGATAATTTTCCAATAACTAAACATGCACAATTCTCTGATTTGACAGTTGTAGCTATATGTATATGTATGTATACACACAGCTGCGTTTTTATTAACAATTTGACATAAAACCTGCACAACATGCCGAGTAGCTAACGAAGGATACAGATAAAGGTAACTATCACATAATGGCTTGTGTTATTGAGCGAGGAACCAGGATGATACACTTAGTATCACGATCTGATAAATACACAAATGGGGTCACCTAGCAGGAACTACTTTCAACATGTTCACGCTCCAGACATCGTTGCAATGATTGTTTCTCAATGAACTATGTACTAATGTACCCAGTATGCAGGGGTTTCATAATGTGTCGCCGCGTTTCTGTTTGCAAACATGGCTGCTAGTCATGTGGCACTATATGATGAACTGGGCGGTTCACTCAAACGTATTCATACACGGTTTCTAAAGCCACAGACTTATATAAGACCGTGCTAAAGCTAATTCATTGAGTGAAATTCTGTCTTAAAATTCCATTATTTTAACATAGATATTACATGATAAAGAGATTATTACCCTGTCTTTCCGTATTGTATATATCATATGATTATTGAAATGTTAATGTTTATTCCTGATATGTGATATCTACAATATGGAAACACACGAGTAATAATAACTATGAACTGTAAGCCAGACATAATAAATATAGCTCATGTCATGTTGTATGACTGAGTGATTCATGTCTCCCCGTAAACACATTGTCTTTTCCAGTGAATGAATAACATCCAATACTGATATGCTGATATGTGATTAATCTATTTTGTTTCTCATAATAATTTATTATCTTCCCAAATTTTTTGTTATTTTGCCACATTCCTATTTCAATATTGACAAAGAAAACCATATGCTTTTTTTTCTGAATAAAAAACGCATTTTCAGAACTTGTCTTCCTTTTGCAGTCTATACAAGTTCAAGTACTGCCCTATCTGTGTTTATACATACAGTGAACAATTCAATGAGTTACATCATTCCTTTGTGAGGGGCAAATACCTTATGCTGCGGTACACACTTTATTCATCAATTGAAGAATGAACTGTTCTTAATATTTGCTTTCATTGCTTTCCCGCACATCATAATCAATATGTCAAGCAGCAGTATGCAACACACCATTCCCTATGAAGATTCCCAAATCTATTCATGCTGACTGACATGCTACAGTGACACTTACCCGAGTCTCTACGAGATGAGTACCCAGCGTACCTCCCCCTACCACGCCCTCTCCGGTAGCCACGCCCCCTTCCACTCAAAACACTGTCAGTCAAGTAGCCGGATGTCCGCCTCTCTTCTGCCATCACTTCCGCTGACCAATCACCAACAGGCTCTGGAGACGTCGCTTCATCCCCTGGTACAGAGGCAGAGAGGTGAGGTGAAGTGGGGTTTATCGTCACGTCCAAGATGCTTGCTCTCGTATAAAGTCTGTGTGTGTGTGCTGTGTATGTGATGGTGTGAGATGGTGCGTGAAGGTGTGTGATGGTGTGTGTGTGTGATGGTGTGTGTGATGGTGTGTGTGATGGTGTGTGTGATGGTGTGTGTGATGGTGTGTGTGGTGTGGTGTGGTGTGGTGTGGTGTGGTGTGGTTCGGGGTGCGTGGGTGTGTGCGTGTGTGACTCATGCCAATTTTATAGTGACGGACCAAACACTGTTTTTATCCACTTAGGCCACCTCAAGTATAGCAACATCATGATGGGAAGACCCTTAGAGAAGCATCCCGGAAATTGTACCACAGTGAGAAATCAAACCATGGTCTAGATTAGCAAATACCACAAGGCTACCCTACTGCAGTGTTCTAAATAAGGCTGGTGGCAGGTAGATCTTGTGTCGGGCCTGTAGTTTCAAATATGTATGGGTTCTTTAGGCCTGCAGTAAAAATAAGTGTCAATTTATTCGTGACAATAAGCTGCAGATTTCTAAATGATGGCCTGAAGAGTTTAGTCAGGGCCTGCAGTCTGTGCTACTGTCTACTGTCCTATTTTGGTTCTGAAGTCATCAGTTCATCTCACCAGTATTCATGCCATGCCTCTCCGTTGCCCATCTCCGGCCTCGTCCCATGCCACGCCCACCTCGACCACGCCTCCCTCTTTCATCTGAGTATGGGTCATTGCTCCCTCTGAAATGTAATCATACGTCAAACGAACTGAAGCAGACACTGAATGGTCCACCCAAACTGTCCTTCGCATGGTAGGATATTCAGTTTCCAGATAGATACAACATGACAGAAAACTACATTTTACGGATAAGGAAGCTTTTGAACTTCAGACTTGAAAATTGTAAATCAAACAGTGTGAACGAGTAGGGTCATAAGCACATAAATGGCTTACTCAAACTCAGGGGGCATATCAGCCTTGGGGAGAAATCACACCTGGGTTTTAGACCGCAACTCTCCCCTTCATGACTCTTACAATAAACAAGCTTACAATAAAGAAAATCAAACCCAGGTTTTTGGTTAGTAAAGATGGAGTGCTATAACTGTGAGGCTAGCCCATCACTTCAGAACAGACAATAGCAGACCAGTAATAGAGTAATGAGTTGCCTTCAAACAAAACATACGAACCTCCTTTCCCGTGGTGGGGGGAAGTAGGGCCCAGACTGGGGGCCAGAGAGACTCTTCAGCTGTTGGTCTATCTCCTGCTTCGCTTGTCGCAGTTGCTCCACTTCCTGTAACAAAACAAAGGAACATGCTTCTCACTGATGGGACATATAGGCATCTGATGCAGCATTTGAAATTCGCACTAATGCTGTAGTCCTTGCCAAACTGCCCAGTAGTTAAGGTATCATAAGGACCAGTAGAAATATACCATTTTCAAGGGTTTTGCAATATGTTATCATTATAAGGTTGCTTGGTTTGTTGTTTAACGCCGCACTCGGCAATATTCCAGCTTTATGACGGCGGTCTGTAAATAATCGAGTCTGGACCAGACAATCCAGTGATTGATATCATGAGCATCGATCCATGCAATTTGGATCGATGACATGCATAAACCAAGTCAGCAAGCCTGACCACCCAATCCCATTAGTCACCTTTTACGGCATGGATTGCTGAAGACCTATTCTACCCCGGATCTTCACGGGTCTAGGACTAGTGGACAAAAACATGTTAGTTTTTACCACCCAGATGGATATGCAGCTTTCATTATGCTTCAAACTTCTCAGGAGTGTTACAAGCTGGTTGCTAACTACAGTCATTTTGAAATTGTTTCGAGAAACTGAAATGCCTCTTTTATCACAACAACCTTGTGGTATTTAACATAAATTTCAAATACCAAATTATCACTTCACCAAAGAAACAGAGAAATTACAGTTTCACTTTTTTTCATTGTATAAGTTTCACAGCCATGTGGAAGAGAAAGTACTTACCCTTAAATGTGTTAAGTGGTAGTCTAATAACAGCTGTGCATTTGCAATACTTTCTACAGTTCCCACGAAAATAAAAGGCACCTGTCCCTGAAACTCAAAGGTCTGAAAAACAGTCAAGATCTGATCATCTTGCAATTTGTTTATTTGTTTGTTGTTTAACGCCATACTCAGCAATATTCCAGCTATATGACGGCGGTCTGTAAATAATCAAGTCTGGACCTGACAATCCAGTGATTGACATCATGAACATCGATCCACGCACTAAGGTCAGTGAGCCTGACCACCCGATCCCGTTAGTCGCCTCTTACGACAAGCATAGTCACCTCTGACGGCAAGCATGGGTTGCTGAAGACCTATTGTACCCCGGATCTTCACGGGTTTGATCATCTTGCAATTTCATCATGTAAAGAATGAACTGCTAACAGCTATCAGAAAACTGACACTTAATATCACAGTCAAGACAATGATCAACTGCAAACATAGGCTTTTCGTACAAACAGTATACAGGATCTGGTTCCGCAATTTAACCAAACAAAAGTTTCCATCAGACATACAATGCAACTATACTGAACAAGATAATTAATAATCAACTTTTGTGTTGTATTGTTAATACCTCTTCTCTTGGCTGGTCAGTTTCGTTGTCCCCCTCAATTTTGACCCTCACAACACCCGACTTGTCCACTATGTCTTGAATGTTTCGACCATTCTTCCCTATCACTTTGGCTGAAACAAGACAAGTCTCATATTCAAGTGGTACATGAAGCAATGTTTTTACCTTTTCAATAATGCTTTGTCAAGGGGGAAAACATGTGGTGTTGACTGTGTACAGGGTTTTACTAAACTTATAAACACAACAGAGCTCACATTTTCAAAGAAGGATGAGAGAGTGGGTGGGTGGGTGAGTGGGTGAGTGAGTGAGATGTGTTAACATCACTTTTGAGTGAGTGAGTTGGGTTTAACGCCGCTTTTAACAGTATTCCAGTTACATCACGGCGAGTCAGCTTAATGTGGGAGGAAAGCCCGAAGTAATGCAGGTGTCAGTCGTTTACCACTTTGGTGAAACCCAGGGGCACGGGTATGGTGCTGACAAACCTAGAAACATACCGTATTTTCTTGAGTATAGTGCGCACCCATGTATAATGCGCACCCCCCTCTAGCGGGTTCAATATTTGATCGCGAGAATTTCATGTTGACATAGAATCGTCAAACAAAAACAAATATGACTTTTATTGAGTCAAAGTATGTCATTTATGATATATGTATCGATTCTCTGTCAACTAAAGTTCGTTTCAAGGCGTCAATAGCGGTATTCTGACCGTGGTTGCTGTTAATAACGGTGAGTTGTGCGATCTTCCGATCGCTTCACACACGATTTCGCCAAAATTAATAAAAACAATATTATAAGGAATTTTGAATAAAATTAATGAAATAAGTTACAAACATAAGTCCAGATATACAAAGAACACTTTTTATAGCCAGACAGTGTAATTACATGATTATTTTGCGTACTTCAGTATGGATTTGTTGACATGGTATTTCCGGTGTTTCGTGCTCACGGTAATGTCTTTCCATGGGGGAAAAAAACATCCAAACTCATAATTCGTGTATAATGCGCACCCCCTTCTACACAGCTGTGTTTTTTCGAAAAAAAGTGCGCACTATACTCAAGAAAATACGGTAATTGGGGCGAACTGGGATTCCAACCCACACTCAGAGGGTTCTAGCGAGCCCAAGGGACACAACAGTGCAAGCGAATTGCTGCACCTTAGAAAACTGGGCCACCCGTGCCCTTGGAGAGTGGGTGAAGGCGTCTAAAATTAAGTCAGCAATAAAAGATCTTTAAAAAGAACCTAGGTGTGTGCATGTAAGTTGTTGTTTTTTACAGTTTGGAAATAATCGCTCATGTCCAGGAAATAATAGTAGATGATTGCATGGTCCTAACTGTCGCCACACAATAATTCCTCACATGTTTTGTTTGTTTATTTAATGCCACACTCCGCAATACACCAGTGATATGATAGTGGAGGTGACAATCCAGTGATTGATATCACGAACAACAATCCACGTCGTCATGGTACAATGACACACAAAGAACTAAGTCAAAGAGGCTGACCACCCAATCCATTAAGTTGCCTCTTAATGGCCAGCAGAGGTTGCTTGTGACCTATTCCAACCCAGAAGCATGACAGGGTTGTGGAAGCCACCATACAATCAGTCAAGGTGTAATTACACCTTAAACCAGTCCAGAGACCAAACTATATTCAATCCAAACAGTCTGACAGTGTTGACAAGCATTGTATTCAGCCTCATACAACTGAGATGTATTTTGCTGCTTGAATACGAAAACCAGGAATAACCTACATCAATGAAGACCGCTTGTGCCCAATAAATACACTGGCTGACTCAAATATGTCTTTGTTTCTTGATACTTACCCACTAGATCTCTTGGGACTTGAAATGTCTGTTCAGCAAATTCTAACATGTTTCTAGCTTGTTTTACAGCTTCTGGAGTCTGAAATTCATGAAGGCAAAAAGTTGAAAATGTATAACTGGTATGTTTCTCCCAGAACCCTGGATTCTGTCACTCCCAAGCTTAAGTACAAGTTCAAATATTAAGCAGCCTTAGCTTTAGACTTTTTAACTTTAGAATGATTACAATGGGGGCCTTCCAAAATAACATACAGACATAACTATTAAAAAAGTTAATCACAGCCTTTTACAAATTAAAGTAGGATTTGTTAAATCAACATTACCAAGAACATAAATCTGCCATGTAACACGTGTCCATCATCTCACCTCTCCGTACACTTTAAACGTGCATGTATTCTCGTCAAGCTCGATGCCAGTGATTCCCTCTACTTTGCGAGCCTGTTGAATGTTAGCACCGTGTGTTCCAATAGCCAGGCCCATCAGGTCGTCCCGTACACAGAACTCCTCCATGAACCCCGACCGGATCTTGGTGCTCTGAACATGGACAATGGAACATTTCTTTCACATGACCTACACACGTGACACCCTGACCGGATCTTGGTGCTCTGAACATGAACAATGGAACATTTCTTTCACATGACCTACACACGTGACACCCTGACCGGATCTTGGTGCTCTGATCATGGACAATGGAACATTTCTTTCACATGACCTACACACGTGACACCCTGACCGGATCTTGGTACTCTGAACATGGACAATGGAACATTTCTTTCACATGACCTACACACGTGACACCCCAAATGGACCTTGGTACTCTGAACATGGACAATGGAACATTTCTTTAACATGACCTACACACGTGACACCCCGACCGGATCTTGGTACTCTGAACATGGACAATGGAACATTTCTTTCACATGACCTACACACGTGACACCCCGACCGGATCTTGGTACTCTGAACATGGACAATGGAACATTTCTTTCACATGACCTACACACGTGACACCCCGACCGGATCTTGGTACTCTGAACATGGACAATGGAACATGGACAATGGAACATTTCTTTCACATGACCTACACACGTGACACCCCGACCGGATCTTGGTTCTCTGAACATGGACAATGGAACATTTCTTTCACATGACCTACACACGTGACACCCCGACCGGATCTTGGTACTCTGAACATGGACAATGGAACATTTCTTTCACATGACCTACACACGTGACACCCCGACCGGATCTTGGTACTCTGAACATGGACAATGGAACATGGACAATGGAACATGGACAATGGAACATTTCTTTCACATGACCTACACACGTGACACCCCGACCGGATCTTGGTTCTCTGAACATGGACAATGGAACATTTCTTTCACATGACCTACACACATGACACCCCAAACGGATCTTGGTACTCTGAACATGGACAATGGAACATTTCTTTCACATGACCTACACACGTGACACCCCGACCGGATCTTGGTACTCTGATCATGGACAATGGAACATTTCTTTCACATGACCTACACACGTGACATCCTTGCTAACCCCACAAACCACGGCTAATCAGAGTGAGTGAGTGAGTGAGTTGGGTTTAACACCGCTTTTAACAGTATTCCAGTCATATCACGCCGTGTCAGCTTAATGTGCTAGGAAAGCCTGAAGTGATGCAGGTCTCAGACGTTTACCACTTCGGTGAAACCCACAAGCAATGGTATGGTGCTGACAAACCTAGATACATAATCGCGGCAAACCAGGATTCGAACCCACAATCATAGGTTTCTGGCGTGCCCATGGGACGCAACTCTGCACAGCAACACTGGCAGCAGACCAGCCTATGTTTGAACTTTGATAAATTTATGGGACCAGGGTACAACCTGCTTTTGTTTGGTGCAACGTGGTGCATGTTAAATCAAGTTCCTTAAATCGAGAATTGAAATAAAATAAATAAAAACATTCAAAATACTATTGACTGACTGAATCATGCTGAATGAGTGCTGCTGCTACTAATATTCTGAACATCAGCAGTGATAGTAGCTTGACACAACGTGCCCCGTAACCGTCCGTGTGTGAGAGAGGTGCTATCACATATATACATTGTATCGGGAACCAGGTGTTGTACATTTGGAAAACAATATCAATGCTGCAGGACACCCCAATATCTAGTGGACATTTCTATCTCTTCTCAACACTGATGTTATGTTTGTTCTATCCTTCAGACAAGCTGAATTCTTACCACAGCAAAAAACATCTCCTGGAACACTTCTAGCAATATCTCAAAGCTGGGGCTGATGTGTTCAGGGTACAGTGTTTCAGCTGGCTTTTGAAACCCAGGAGACTGGCAACTCTAAAAATCCCCTCCCCCGTCCACATTTTTGACATTCATGGCTGACAAATTCGATGAAGTCATCTCTAAAGTAACTTAGTTGTGTTTGTTTGTTGTTTAACAGCGCACTCTCTTTTTCTGTTTTCTCTTTTCCCCCGGAATATTTCATTTGGGTTTGAGATGACATTTCTCATTATCACTGATGCTTTGTTCAACAACAAAGATTTATAAGGTACTTTATTTACCGGTCCACAGGCACTGTTAGTCATATGAATTACTGGTCCAAACCTAATTTTACCGGCAAAAAAATCCTAGTAATTTCCGGAAACGGGAACACTGGGATATAGTTAGAAAGGGTTGGGAACATGAAGTAGGTGAGGTGAAATGGGGTTTAACGTCCTGACCAAGATTATTGCACTTATATAGTGACTTGCATGCAAGTGTGTGTGTTTGTGTGGCTGCTTGTACTAGTCCAGAGCAATGCCGATTTATAGTGCTAGCCTACTGAGATACCATGCCGCAGTTTAACATGAATACCCCACTCAGACACAGTATACTGACTCCGAGCCGACCACTCCTTGTTTTAGCCCCTTAATGCCGAGCGCCAGACAGGGTAACAAGATGTACCATCTTTTAACGTCTTTTGGTATGACGCGGCGGGGGATCAAACCCCGGACCTTCCGCTCTCCGGGTGGACGCTCTACCACTAGACCACGGAGGTGGTCTGAACAAGAAGTAAGGGTCATGTGGGTCCATGTTGACAGCAGCCCTTATATAAAAAAGAGACAAATGTGACACTCTACTCTCCCATACACATGTGAAGTGAAGTCACTCAGATAAGAAACATGGACTTGGCCAGTCTCGCATCACTACGGATATATTCTTAACTACTATGGATGAGGGAGTGAATGTTGTTTTATTGGATACCTGTAATTTCTTGACAGCTTCTTCTGTCCTCTGTTTTAATAATACTTTCTGGCGTAGATTTCGGATGAACATGTCACCAATGATGGAAGCCTTTTTAATCACTTGTTCACTGGTGGACTGGAACAAACATTAAACAATACATTATTTTCAGCATGAGAAACAAACCTTCTTATCTAAATAATAAATTCCTTACATTCTAAAAAGACAGAAAAGTGAACAAACTTTAGCAGGGGAAGACACCTGACGAAAATAGTTCAGTTCATCATGGACAATTTGTTTTTGTAAAATAACTGCAACTGGGGTGTCAACAGGCATACGAGTCCTTGCAGGTCTTCACCAGTGTCACAACTAGGGGACTGGCAGTGCAATACCTTTAGTCATGTCTTTCACTGCGGATGCGTTTCTTAATGAGTCTGTCACAGTGAGTGATCTTTCAGTCGGCCGGACTAAAAGCATCGAGGCTAACACATGTCAGCAATAGTCTGGCTTCAACACAGTAAATATGTAAATAATCAATTCTGGGCCAACCAATCCAGTGATTGATATTGTGAGCATGTCCAATGAAGAAAGTAACTGAGTCCAGCTCCACATAACTTTTTGAGCAATTGAGTTTTACTCAAGGGTTTCTATTTTAATTGGCTTATTACATTTTTATTGGGTAAAAAATATTTTTTCACTCATCTATTCATCACTCTATTTGGTGTTCCCCCAAATTAGTGAACATTTTAAGATTTAAAAAAAAATGAAATAATGTTTCAGATGTATATAACTGTTATAAATATATAGACTTGATTTGAAATGTAAATTAGTTCATAATTGTGTTTTTGAAATTAGCTCCTTTGTACGCATGCTGAAAAAGCTTCATTGGGTATTTACATGTGCTGTTTTTATACATTTGAGTTTTGGGTTTTGGGTCAAATTGGGTTTTGAATATTTTGGGGGGGTATTTTACGCAACTACGCTGCTTATCTGTAGCTTTGTGAGCCTGACTACCCATTCCAACAACAAGCAATAGAATCGGTTTGTTTGAAATTGCCCAAGAGCTAGGGCTCATGTATTTGGTGAATCGAACCATATCCCTTCATGAATTGAATTTGGTATTCGTGGACACAAGAATCGAATATTTACAACAAAAATAAAATGAGTTTTTTAAATAAAAATATCCATAAGAACTAATAACATGCATGTGTAGATTTCTTCAAAGACAGCACTCTTATATATTTATTTTGACAGCAATGTGGTCACTGGTCATTGTCGCTTTTTAGCAGATACTAGTACCTGGATAATTGCAGTACGCATATGAATATATAATATTGTAATAATCATTAACACCGTCAACATGGTCAAACTATGTCAAATAATTTATTTTGTTATTGTTTCACTGAATATTATGAATAATACATCAACTGATGACCTGTTATTGTATTCGTGACTTTCGTGATCAGATATTCATATTCGTTACCATATAGTCATGATACGAATCGTATTCGCCTCACAGCGTGTTCGTTGCAGCCCTAGAAAGGACTACCAGTCTGACAACTGGTTGACAAATCTGGTCAACAAAAACAGGGATGGAACTGGTTGTGAGGTTTTTAAAACAGAACTTACCAGTATGACAAGCGAGTTGTCTGTAGGGTTGTAACTAATAACAGCGGCACCACAATGTTTCTTGAAGTCTATGTGAGTTTCTTCTTCTTGACATCTGAAACAGAATCATCACTCTATTACTGATCTGCTGAACTAATGAATAGCATGTCATTTGAGTCATAGACCCGTGAAGATCCGGGGTAGAATAGGTCCTCAGCAACCCATACATGCCCTAAAAGGCGACTGTGCTTGTCGTAAGAGGCGACTAACGGGATCGGGTGGTCAGCCTTGCTGACTTTGTTGATGCATGTCATCGATCCCAATTGCATGGATTGATGCTCATATCAATCACTGGAATGTCTGGTCCAGACTTGATTATTTACAGACCGCCGTCATATAGCTGGAATATTGCTGAGTGCGGCGTTAGACAACAAACAAACATTAACAACAGAAGAAAAAAAAATGAACTGCAGGGAAAATGACGGTGATATAAAGAATAAGAACAAGTTGTCCCCATAAAAGACAGGCGTCCTGCTAATTTAGACTTTGCGATTAGAAACATAGAATTACAACACATCAATGGATTTATCTTTCAGTACAGCCTTGGAGCATGGCTAGTAGCCCTAGTTATCATGAGAATCAAGCTTAATCAGTGTTTCACGGTACATGGACAAAGTCCTGGCTCCTTACACTGAGTGGAGTTTAATTTCAAATGGCTACAAATTGTGTTAATGATGTATGATCTCTCCTCATACATTGCTCCTGAATTAGAACGAGAGGCCCTTCCAGATTGAGGCACAATGTAACGTAGAACCAGTCAAATTGTAGTAGCTTCATGGTCGCCCCTTTAAGTCCTATGTACTTGCTGTAAGTTCTGTTTACTTGCTGTAAGTTCTATTTACTTGCTGTAAGTTCTATGTACTTGCTGTAAGTTCTACTTACATGCTATAAGTTCTATTTACTTGCTGTAAGTTCTACTTACTTGCTGTAAGTTCCATTTACTTGCTGTAGGTTCTATTTTCTTGCTGTAGGTTCTATTTACTTGCTGTAAGTTCCATTTACTTGCTGTAAGTTCTATTTACTTGCTGTAAGTTCTATTTACTTGCTGTAAGTTCTATTTACTTGCTGCATAACATATGGTATGAGCTTCAGAGGTTCCCTCAAGTAAACATGCTTCTCCAAAATCTAAATTCACATCATTAGCGTCTGGTGACAGCTTGCTGCTTTGTGCAAAGTAGGGACCATTTCAAAAGTTCTAAACCCCCTGTATAATTACAGCAATCTATAGATTACATGAGCAAAGAATTCTCATCTGTCAAAAACAGAGTATACTGGACATATGATAAATGTATTGACCAAAACATGAGATACTTTTCATCCATCTGCTGACTTCATGAATGTCATTCCACCAAGGCTAGATTATAAGCAGTCATATTTTAGAAATATCCCTTCCTCTTCCTTAAGACTGATAATACCCAACGTTATTTTGTTGTTTAATGCCGAGCTCAACAATATTCCAGCTATATGACGGTGGTCTGTGAATAATCGAGTCTGGACCAGACAATCCAGTGATTGACATCATGAGCATCCATCCGCGCAATTGGGACACGATGACATGCATAAACCAAGTCAGCGAGCCTGACCACCGGATCCCCTTAGTCGCCTCTTACCGTTATTTTGTGCATCATACTGACATAATGAATGACAAATTAGGTAGAATGATTCTGAAATCATACTAATTAGACCACTGAAAAAAAAGAAAATCACAACACCATATTCTTGACACTACTACAAAGGTCTACTATCCCCTATTATTCTCACTGAAAGAGACTGACAGATGAGTGAGTGTGTTGGCTTTAGCGTTTATCAGTATTCCAGTTATATCGCTGCATGTCAGCTTAAAGTGGGAAAAAGCCTGAAGTGATGCAGGTCTCAGACGTTTAGCATGGTGCTGACAAACATAGAAACATAATCGGAGTGAATCCGGATTTGAACCCACAATCGTAGGTTTCTGGCTTGCCCAAGGGACGCAACTCTGCACAGCAAATTGTGGCGCCTTAGACGACTTGGCCACCCATGCCCCCGAAAGCTGGATAAAACTTATTCCTGACTAGTTAGTGAGTGAGTATGGTTTTACGCCACATTTAGCAATATTCCAGCAATATTCCAGCAATATCACAGCAGGGGACAACAGAAATGGACTTCACACATTGTACCCATGTCCGGAATCGAACCCGGGTCTTTGCGTGACGAGCGAACGCTTTAACCACTAGGCTACCCGACCACCATAATTCCTGACTATGTCAGCATGTTACACTGGAACTAGCTAAGGATCTGATGCTACCAATGTTGTCATACTTACGCTTCTTTCAAGTCAGGAGGCACTTCCAGTATATATTTGAAGAAACTACTGCTACTGATTGTGGGACTGAAAGAAAAGGTAATAATTAGTTATCTGATCATTCAGATAACCTAAAACTGCCAAATACTAACATATTGATTTTTAAACAAGAGTCAGAAAGATGACATATCCCCCCAGCAGCTGTCTGTAAAGTAACCACAAGTAAATGTGAAATTCGGTATGTAATGAGTCAAGAATTGAATGTTCTTTAAGAAGCATACATTGTTTACCAACAAAAGATCCACCATGGTCACATCCATATGAAATGGAAATGTTTCTGTGGGTTTTTTTTTTGCAAACAAATGACAAATTACAAGAAACAATAACTAAACAAGCGTTTAGTCAATGAAGTCATCTATATCCCCCGCCCCTTTTAACACGTTATGGTCCCAAACCAGGTAACTGACCCAACATTTCTCTTAGCCCATGTCAAAATAGCTTCCTTGGAAATTCTAAAATAAACATTTCTAAAATTCCTAAATAGCAAAAGGCACCAGTTCAGCATGAGTCTGATAGACATGCAAAGTTTTGTTTGAAAGTTTTGAATGGGTTTTGAGTTATGCTCCGGAAACGAACTCTACCCTATAGAACCTAAGTCCAACTGGTTGCCATGGAAACATAAAAAATATAAAATAAGAAAATTCCTAAATAGCAAAAGGCACAACTTCAGTATGTGACTGATAGATATATTTCCATCAAATACACTGAATTGTTTTCGAGTTCTGCCCCGCAAAAGGAAATGATTACGGATGTACAGACGGATACACGGACAGACGGACTGGCTGATCGCTATATCCCCCCGCATTATATGCCAGGGGGATAATAATTGAGTAATATTGAAAGCAATGAAAATGCAATTGGCACTATTAGTCCTTTAGTCCTTGCCAAATTGCCCTATTGTTAAGGTATCATAAGGACTAGCAAGAAATTGGCCCTTTTCAAGGGTTTTGCTACAGATTAACATCATAAGGGCTAGTGGACTAAAACTGTTAGTTTCTATCACTGCCATTTGGTGTGCTCAGAAATCTATAGTGGACTTGAAACTGGGCCCGCCAGACAGCTGCAGGATACGGCTCTCTTCCATCTCCATTTAGAAACAGATACTAACACGTTAGGAGTCACTAAGCAAATAATTATGACTTAGTGGGTGTGAGTTGGGTTGAACATTTCAGTTACCTACTGAAACACAATGAAAACGCATAATCAACTTTAACTCGAAATCAGAAACGAAATGTTTTTGTGCTCCAGGCCATCTACAAATCCTTTGAAAAAGATTTGATCCGCATGGCTACATGGTTGTGTTTGATTACCTCATGCCAAAAAAATACCCAGAACATAACAAGAAAGAAGTGAGCAAGCTCACATACCCCCGTTATCCCTGCTGGTCAACAACAAATAGTAAATAGTTTGTTAATTAATGAAATATTACATATTTCTAACTGATTTTAACTTCAATGTTTTAAAAACTAAGATTGAGTTCCAGTGACAATTGACCCCCCCAAATCTCCCATGTTACAAGTGTTCACTACGAGGAAGTAGATCACCATGAACACCTTTGAATAAAAATTTGATTGAGGAAATACATAAGAAGAATTATCAAAAGGATAAAAAATTGTTGATATAAAAACACATAAAAAATGGAACAATACCATATAAGAAAATCAATAAATTAATAATTTCCATCTAGCCTTAACAGAAATTGTAAAGAATTTATAAATTCAAACTAACACAAAGCACAGAAACAATTTTGGAAAATATATTAGCTATACAAAACGAGTCATCAAAATTTCTAAATTCTATCATTCCATGAAAACAGCCAAAGAAAAAACTTTCAGAATCTTATAAAAGATATAAAAAAAATCATAGTGGTTAATGTAGCAAGTTTGGTGAAGCTAGGATACATAATATTGTAAACATGGATCATACAAATACTCTACCCAAAATTTATGTTTCACCTTGATTCCATGGAAATGGCAAATATAAAAAAAATCAGAATCTTCAAACTAGCAAAAGGCACAAGTACTCATTGGGGGTAATGTGTGTAGCAAGTTTGGTGAAGCTAGGGTGCATGGTTAAAAAGTTATGGGCCATACAAAAGGATAAGAACCATCAACCTGCATATCCTGCCACAATGTAGGGACACAACTCTGCACAGCACAGTTCAGCACCCTTACACAAGCAGGTTGCCCATGCACTCAATGTTTCACATCTCCTGGTAATATGCCACACAACTACAAACCCAGACAAATGCATTACCCATATTAACCACCCCTGGACACTATTGGCATGAATACATACTTTGCATTGCCTGACCGTAGCTTGTCGAGAGCTATGATGTCTGTGTAGTTGTCCTGGCCCACATACTCCACCACAGCAAACTCCCCTTTCAGCATCTTGATCCTGGATGGCCACCATGCAAACACCTCGTCATTCTGGGACTTGGTGAACACCTACAACACAAAACGGGATACAACTTTATGTTTGTTTGTTTGTTTGTTGTTTAACACAGCACTCAGCAATATTCCAGCCATATGACGGCGGTCTGTAAATAATCTAGTCTGCACCGGACAATCCAGTGATTGACATCGTGAACATCGATCCATGCAATTGGGACACGATAACATGCATTAACCAAGTCAGCGAGTCTGACCACCCGATCCCGTTAGTCGCTTCCTACCACAAGTATAATCGCCTTTTATGGCAAGCATGAGTTGCTGAATACCTATTCTACCCCAGATCTTCACGGGTCTACCCCAGACCTTCACAGGGTAAATAAGTTTATGGGTGAGTGAGCGAGTGACCCATGCAACAGTCCGCAATATTCCAGTAATATCACATCAGCCTGCAGTCAATCAAGTCAGGCCTGGGCAAACCAGTGATTGAAAACATGAGCAACAAACCAGGCCATCGGCGAAAAATGACATACAATCAGCGAATACACAGCGACTGACATTGTGATGCTATTTAACCTCAGTACCAGCAACTGTGGGCTGGGGAGCTATTTTGACATAGATCCCCACAGTCAAGTAAATGGCATCAGCAGGGATACCAGTTAAAGCTTGAGCACCTAGGAGTCTGATGACAAATACAGCCAACATGTGTTTACTGGCCTTGTCTCCTTGTAAATGCTCTGAACTACAATCAATAGATAGCACAAATGTAATCCAATAAAGGGTTGAAGCCGTAACATGTGTTCAAGCAGAATGACCTTGTTTTTTCAAGATCTTTATCATGTTTATATTTTATGTTTTGGAAAGGAGTTGTTATTGACATTTGTTAACATCCAATATACTGTGTAAAGTGCATACTCTGAGACGTTACTTTGATCATTCTAATATCAAAAAAGATCCAAATTAAAATGAGGAGATTAAATTTAGTCCAAATCATTTCAGTCAAACTGTCTATAATTCAGTCTCATTTTTCAGGCAATTGTCCATTGCCTTAGGGAATCTGTCATTATTTCAATTTTCAGTCCGCATTCATATAGCCTGATCATGACATTGACAGTACTTTATAATAAAAACATCCAAGAAACTTGTATCCACCTTATTTTGGAATTTTGTAACACTTTTTAGGTCCATACTTACAGGGAAATAAAGGCTGATAGTAGGAGGCATGGGCGTGATGAAACACCATCTAAGCATCATACTTAGCTTATGCAATATTCAGGCATGTCACTTCCAATGACTATTTACTTAGTCGTAGGAATAAGAGCTTGACACATTCACACACCTCATATTACATTTTGTTTGTTGTTGAACGCCGCACTCAGCAATATTCCAGCTATATGAAGGTGGTCTGTAAATAATCAAGTCTGGACCAGACAATTGAGTGATTAACATCATGAGCATCGATCCACGCAATTTGTATGTGATGACATGCAACAACCAAATCACCAAGCTTAACCACCTGATTCTGTTAGTCGCCTCTTACGACAAGCATAGTCGTCTTTACGGCAAGCATGGATTGCTGAAGACCTATTCTACCCCAGATCTTCATGGGTGCAAAATTGTAATTAAATATATCCAAATTCATATTAATATATTTCTAACTAATGTTATGGCTTTTTAGATGTAGCCTGTATGTCACTGACAACAGGTCAGTAGAGAGGAAGAGGTATAGTTCATGCTTAGTTTATATTATCACACTGAAGGCAATGTTAAAATACCTCCAAATTTAGGAAATTAAAAACTTTTTAAAAATCCAAATTTTGAACAAAATATAAATTATTTTCCCAATTTGCCTGCCATGGGCACTAAGCTTAGAAATCTGTATTGACAACCTCTGCAAATGTTCCTTGTTTCAAGTAAGTTTGGTTTCCAAGGCAACCATATGCCAAAACTTTTCTGCCATTGTTCACCATTGTATGCAGATAATTTGATGAAACATGAAGGCAGGCTCGTCTGTGGTTGGGTCTAAAATAGGGGTTTTCACCGACTGAAATACATGCAGAAATGGCTGAGTTGTGGGAAGAATTAATACAAATATTCAACATGGCTTCCGTGGTGGACACATTTAAATTCAAATTTGAAGTCAGTAAGCAATTTTTAGAAACACCATAGATGGGAACATTCATGTAAAGTTTTAGCTCTGTGGGCCTTGTATTTAATACAATAACACCCGAGACTGTGATGTGAAGGTCAAAGGATCCAGCTGGATCCAGAATCAAAATATGACAAATAACATATTATATGTTATTCAGAATGCCACATGCTTGCTGCATATCAGATTTCATAAAGAAATATGTAAAAATGGCTTTATGACCCAAAACAACATTCAATATGGCCGCCAGTGAGGTGAACTAAAAATTAACTTGATAACTATTCCAGTGTAATGTTTGAATATTAATCTATACTTCGTATAAGACTTTCGTTTAACCAACAAAACACAAGCTGTTGATTTGGTCATCTGAGACCAGAAATGTAGGCCTTTTCAAAACTTTAACCTTGATCATAGTGTCACTTTATTTCATTGTTAAGAAGGGCTCAATATGTACATCCGATCACACTGTCCAAATGTTCAGTTCACTGTGAGATATCCATGAACATGGCCGGCCCTGCAGTACACACATGCTCTGTAAATCAAGGACCATTCCTGGTATTTGTTTAGCCCAGGAAACATCTGACCTGCTTCCATCCATCTTGCTTATCCTTCTGTATCGGTGTCTGACAGAGGCAACAGCATGTGAGCAGATCACAGGCTGGCTGCAGAGAGGTGGGATGGTGCAAACCATCATATATCATTATGTGTCATTGGAAAAAATTGAATTGAATATCAACGTGCTCCAACTCCAAGCTGATGGACACAAAAGTGTTTGTAGTTGATGGATTTCATGGTGGGTCCTTGAGGTGTTTATCTAAGGACCCACAATATATGGAACCTTTGGTAATGTGAAGTGTAATGGCAAGGTGCTCTTAACCTTTAGCCTGCTGAATTATTTTCACACTTCTTACCCCTGCCTGCTGGATTAATTTTAGCATAAGGCGCTCTAAAGAGGGAGGGTGATTTCAAACAGTCGGTGCCTCATTAAACAAGGGCCATGATCGTACAAGTTCCATCCAATCGATGATGTTACGATTCAGATTGTTTTTGTTTACAATTAGCTACACCGAAAGTTGCTAATTTTTAGAAATTAAGGAACATGAGTGTTTTCCTTTCATCAGCAAACAAAAAATTATGATCGAATAGGAAAAATGATGAAATTATAAAGAAAATATCGGACTGCATGCCGCTCAACGTGAAGTGCCAAAAGTCAACAATGGCCGTTTCTGGTAGTTGTGTGCCGAGAAGTTTGGCTGAAACTTTTTTAATTCGCGATATTTTCTTTTTGAGGTAAATAAATGACTGAAAGTTTTGATATTGATCAAGCTGAGCATTTATGCATGTCATACGTAATTCAAATGTTACGCAAAGCCTACTTGGTAAACAGATATGGGGAGTTTTATTTTGGGGTGTCGTTATGCTATTCGCCTGTCGAATGGGTTCGACATTAGATGCACGGGAAGTGACACCTCTGTCGAATGGGTTCGACGTTAGCTTGCAGAGCTTTAATCAACTTTCATTCCTAATGTCAACACTGCACATTATAGGAGCTAACTCGGGTCAAGCTCAATACTCACTCCTGGTCTGTCACAAAGTAACCTGTGCTTCAGCACATTGTAAATTGAGAGAAATTGAGAGAAACTGTCAAAATCAACACAAAACTAGGGCTGCTCATTTTCATCAGTTTTGGCACATTGAGTGAGTGAGTGAGTGAGTGAGTTTTACGCCGCTTTTAGCAATATTCCAGCACTATCACAGCGGGGGACACCAGAAATGGGCTTCACACAATGTACCCATGTCGGGAATCGAACCTGGGTCTTCGGTGTGACGAGCGAACGCTTTAACCACTAGGCTACCCGACCGCCCCTTTGGCACATTGATGTTCAGGCCGGAATGATACAAAGTAACACTACAATATGCACAAATGTGATACAATGTGATACCTATCACAATCACTATTTTTGGTAATATATGTAAATCAAAAAGGGTAACAAGAGCTTATTTTTCTCTCCAGGATCACATTTTGCTGTCAAATGTTAATGACATTTCAAAACAACACCATTTTACCCGTGAATATCTGGGGTAGAATAGGTCTTCAGCAAACCATGCTTGCTGAAAAAAGGCGAATAAGAAGATCAGGTGTCAGGCCCGCTGACTTGGTTGATGCATGTCATTGTATCCCATTTGCGTAGATCTATGCTCATTATGTCAATCACTGGATTGTCTGGTCCAGACTGGATTATTTACAGATGGCCGTCATACAGCTGCAATATTGCAGAGTGCGGCGTTAAACAACAAACAACAATGAATGACTGAATTTATATCCAACAGCTAAAGTGTTGAAGACTAGCAGTCACTTCCATTTGAAGTGCAGAAAGAAAATACTAACAAGCATTAGTATGTGTTTGTGTAGGCCTGCCATTGTACACAGTCGTACCAAATAGCCTTAGCATGTTAGTGTCCACCTGCCTTTGGTTACATGGCATATGTTTTGTTTCAACTTGCCTTGGTACCTGTTTGTGTCAAGTAGCATAAGTATGTTTGTGGCAAGTAGAATAAGTATGTTTGTGTCAAGTAGCATAAGTATGTTTGTGGCAAGTAGAATAAGTATGTTTGTGTCAAGTAGCATATGTATATTTGTGTCATGTAGCTTAAGTATGTTTGTGTCAAGTAGCATAAGTATGTTTGTGTCAAGTAGCATAAGTATGTTTGTGTCAAGTAGCATAAGTATGTTTGTGTCAAATAGAATAAGTATGTTTGTGTCAAGTAGCATAAGTATGTTTGTGTCAAGTAGCATAAGTATGTTTGTGTCAAGTAGAATAAGTATGTTTGTGTCAAGTAGCATAAGTATGTTTGTGTCAAGTAGAATAAGTATGTTTGTGTCAAGTAGAATAAGTATGTTTGTGTC